TATGATCAAACATTTTTCGACAATATCCGCTTTACCTGTTTTTTTTTTTTTTTTTTTTTTTTTTTTCTATTTTTCGCGAAGACGGTCCAAATTTAAGGTTAGCACGGACCTACCTTAAAATCCTTAAACCCGGCAAAAACTCGTCTTTTGTATTTTTAATTTTTCATAGGCGCAAATCGTCGTAACCAGTGCAAGAGCCTATTTCCAAAGTTAGGTGTGTAGTTTAGTTAGGTTCCAAAGTGTAGGGAAACTAATGGCACCTTCTCCGCACAGAGGGTCGAGTCAATAGGCGAGGTCGGACGAAATTTGGAAACTTTAAAAGCTTATAACTCCGTTTATACAAAGTTTTGAGGTCCCAAAATTGGTTCCATTGGTTACCTCGTAAAATTTCCTCCCTAAAGCACTCCTTAAAATGTGACGAAATACACATCAAAATATGCAGTTTTAGTCAAAAATTTCATGTCCGACCTGTCCAACTGACTCGATTAACTGTGCGCCGTCTCAAAACTGAGCGAGACTATGTTATGTCCTGATTGCAAAATGAAGTCCAAATTGACTACATTTTGCAATTAGGAACTATAAATTCCGGCCCGGTTCAAAAACAACGTATGTGCCATTAGTTTCCCTATGCTTATAAGAGTTTTTTTCAGATGAGCCAGAATTCACAGCTCCAAATTGAAGACACCGCACCAAGAACAGCCTATAGGCGAATAGGTCGTTATTACGCCCATCTGCTTTTCGGATTCTACGTACCCTGGACTATGCTGTGGTAGCGATAGAATATAGCTAGGTAACGGCTCGAGGTCGAAAAACCTTTTTTTTTCCGAGCTAAGTCAGGCCAATGGATCGATGGGTGCAAGAACGACCTATAAGCGGGCCTATAAACATAAGGGCCTATAAGGTGCTAGTTACCCCTTTCTTTACTCACTATCGATATTCTTTCATTTTGCGTTAATCATACGTGATTAAAATGATTTATACTTCATATTGCCACCAAAATGACTGTTGGGCGTAATAATGGCCTAAAAACCGCTTTCTCAAATTAAATATATTAGAGTGTAAACCCAAAATGTATCGCAAAATCTACCCGGTATCCTTCAACAGAAGGATTAGGTCATCCAAAAACACCAAAACAGGGTACCTGCATAGAAAAGTCTGCGGAGTACATCAAAAACAAAACTTTAAATGCGTTTTTCTCAAAACGCGGTTTCCAATTAAAGGCTGTTCTTGGTGCGGTGTCCTCAATTGCAAAATGCAGTCCATTTGATATTGGAACATGACGACTGGCAATGACATTTCGACTGGATTTTACATTTTGGAACCTGAAATTCTGGCTCTTCTGGAAAAACACCTATGTTTACAGGGAAACTAATGGCACATACGTTGTTTTTAAACCGGGCCAGAATTTATAGTTCCTAATTGCAAAATGTAGTCCAAATCACACTGCGCCCCCTAAAGAAATCTGCCGTTCAAGGAACGACTTTGAATACAGCCTGCCATTTTTACCAGAATCACCTATCTGACATTCTAACAAAACGGGCGCCGTCATGTCAGTTCGGTGGACACCGCGGGCGGAGTTGCGGGGGTCAGGGGGCGACGAGGATCGAATGAAAAGTTGAGGAATCACATCGTTGGATACGCGCGATAAAGCGAAACTTTTACAATCGACCTAGCTCGGCATCCGAGCTTGTGCTGTTAATCTCGGAAGTTTTCACATCAACCACCGCCGTCCGGCCCGGCCCGGACGGGCGCCCGCCCCGAAAAATCTCAGCGCCGCGGTGTTCCAATTGGACGCATTAATACTGAAACGAACTATGTTGCAAACAACCCCTATGCACATAGTTCCTTTTAGCGTAAACGTCCTATTTCACTGCTGCATCGGATGCACTGCTCGAGCGGACAACAAGGATAGCCTCGAATGCACCGGGATTGACATCATTCCCACACGGTTACAAATGTCGGTGCTCATTGTTACTTTCAGCTACTTTTTTCCGGTCAGATCAACCAAAAGGAGATGGTTTATCGATCAAATTTTTGGTTGGATGGACCGAAACCGTAGGTCACTCTGAGACATCTTGGGATGAAGAAAGTGTCCTACTGACACGAAAAAAGTTTTAGGGATTAACCGCTAAAATTGCGGTACTGTCCCAATTCGTTGGATGATGTGGACATTTCCAATGAATTATATGGTAGTACTACAACTCAAGGTGGGGCAGTACTGCAACATTTGGATTCCACAAATAATTGGGGTGCTACCAAAATTGATCGGAAATGTCCATATCATCCAACAACCCTTTTTGCCGAGTGTTTTTTTTTCCGTGGAATTAGTGTAATTTGTTGATCTAAATGTCAATCAGAGGTTGCGACTTGCGAGGGGCCAGCGCAGTGAACTGCCACCCATGCTATCTAGATTCACTTTTGGCAGTTTGCGTCCGATATTAAATGGACGTATTTCTACCAAACAGACCTATGTGGAGGTGAGAAAAATGGGGTGTGCTCATCGGCGCTGCATAAGAAGCAATGTAAAAGTGGGCGTGATTCCTTTTGAAGAATTGGAAAAGCGGGATTTTACATTCTATCAAAGAGACCTATGTGGCAACTGAATGCGAGATTCATGAGCCGCGGGCATGGCAAGAGAGCCTTGTGGACAGGGGTCATGAGTTAAAGCGCCCCGACGACGATCTCCCCCTCGCGTGTGCGCTCGATCATTGCCGCTGACGTCACTGGCGCTTTATTATTCCCATTCACTCTTACGGCCAGAGAACTAACGAGCACACCCCATATTTCTCACCTCCACATAGGTCTGTTTGGTAGAAATACGTCCAAATGAAAGTACAAATTTTCAATTCAAAGATTTATGGTCGGTGTAACCCAAAGAAGAAGTGAAAAGGAAATATTCAGCGCATATTCAGGTTAATTTTTGTTCTACTGTCCATATTGACACAAAATATTGGATATTTTATCTTCCTGTGTGTGTGATTTTTGGCTATGAAAGAAAAATTTCTAAATGGTCCGATAATATTTTCCCCGTTCGGACATCTTAAATATATTGAAGTGGTCCCAAAGTACAGTTTTTGCTTGATTTGAAGGAGTGCCAATGAAAATTAACGCGATCTATACCCATCGCAAATTAGCTTAAGCAACTATTCGACCACCCGAGCGTTCCATAGAATCACTCGAAATTGAAGGCGAACTTAACACAACAACTCACTTGTCTAATTCATGCAACAGCTACTATAGTTTTTGGATTTTGAGGAATATCAATCAAAATGAACGATCTATATCGTGAAGCAACTATTCGAACACCCGAGTGTGGCACGGTATCACTCGAAATTGAAGGCGAACTTATCGCATCAATTCTCTTGCCGCATTCCTGCAACGGATACAGTTGCTGGATTTTAAATAAGATAAATGATTATGAACTCGATATCCGTGATGCAACTATTCGACCACCCGAGTGTGGCATGGTATCATCCGAAATTGAAGGCGAGAACTTAGAGCACCGACTCACTGGGCCAATTCCTGCAACGGCGAAAGTCGTCTGGTTACATACGACCCGATGGATCCGAACTTATCGCATCAATTCTCTTGTCGCATTCCTGGAACGGATACAGTTGCTGAATTTTAAATAATATCAATGAATATGAACGCGATATCCGTGAAGCAACTATTCGACCACCCGAGTGTGGCACAGTATCACTCGAAATTGAGGGCGAACTTATCGCATAAATTCTCTTGCCGCATTCCTGCAACGGATACAGTTGCTGGATTTTGAATAAGATTAATGATTATGAACTCGATATCCGTGATGCAACTATTCGACCACCCGAGTGTGGCATGGTATCATCCGAAATTGAAGGCGAGAACTTAGAGCACCGACTCACTGGCCCAATTCCTGCAACGGCGAAAGTCGTCTGGTTCCATACGACCCGATGGATCCGACAATGCTGCCCGGCACCGGTTCGGACGTTGTAAATGAATTGGAGTGGCGCCTGGCCGAGGTTGCAAGTTCGCGGTCCATTATCGCCGCGCCCTCATTGTCTGGGGCGCGGCGGGGCCGGAGCTGAGGGATGAGCGGCGCCGGATCCTCCCTCCTTGCGCTAACCTTATTTTTATCTCTCGCCGAATTTTTCTCCGGCGAGGCGCAGCGCGCAGTCTGTCTTACGACGCGTCTCGCCGCGCACTTTAAATCTCGGAGGATTCATGAGCTGAACAGAATCCATACTCGGATGTGAGTATGCGGAATGAGGTCACGTCAATCTCGCTGTTGCCGGCTAATCCGGCTTATTAACGCCGCTGAGTGTGCAATTTCGTGTAAGGGATGGAAAAGCTACACCGATGAGACAGAAACAGAACTGCGGGCTGCAGCCTGATTTTTGAAACTTTAACTGGCTTTGTCGGCAAGATAAGACCATAGGGTACATAGAGTCGTAATGTAAGTGGGAGAGCTGGCGCCATGTTCTGCTCGACGAGTTCCGAGCCCGGTGTGCGGGGTCACTTTTTCGATACATATTCGATCCAAAATGAGAGTGTGGATAATGGCCGGGTCCCCGTGTATTGCAAACAATCGATTATGTATCGAAAAAGGGACCCGGCGCCGCACAGGAATCTCGGAATTCGGGACCTGGAAAATGCTTAAAAGTGGCGCCAGCTCTCCCACTTGTATTACGACCCTGTGTACTCTATGGATAAGACACGACATAGCCCTGTCGGCGCCGTGTAACGTATCGATTTTCGATTCTTGTCGTGCCGATATATATTTCAACAATCAGACTGCTGATTATTGAAATTGATGAACAAAACTATAGACAAAGAGAAAATAGAGAGATCCTATAAGTTGATATGCTATTGGTTGATATGGGTAGCCGTCATACTTACACTGAGGGCAAAATGATGATACAGGGTCCATATGCCCACTTTTTCCCAGTATGTGATGGATTTGAACCAGGATAAACATTTAAAATAAATAGTTATCTTAAACGGAAATGTCTTTGTTTCAGCAAGAGGACGCGTGGTCCAGCTGGTCTGACTGGTCGCCATGTTCGAGAACTTGCGATGGAGGGGCCTCTTACCAACTGCGGAGATGCAACTCCTTGACTGGCTGCGAAGGAGAACCTGTCCGGTATCGAATATGCAATATGCAGGTATGTAAAATATGGCAAAAGAGAACCTACGAATCACAGAGAGATCACGCGAGGTGACAATATTAAAATTACACTTTGAACGACACAGGGTGGAGAAGGAACACTGCTGAGGCCTGCTAAAGCCGCTGTAGTGTGCGCGTTATTTCAAGGAGACTCTGTTTTCATAAGAGCGGGAAATTCAAATTTTCTTAAACAGTGCTAAATAAAAACGTCAATATCTCAGTTGGGAGTTGCTTTCAAAAATTTTAGCAGCGCAAGTCGTGTTCTACGTAAAGAGGGTTATTCAAAATCGGCAATTTTACCCTACGCTTGGATTTTGCCCGGAGTTGGATATGTTGTTCCCTATCACAAGACACGCCTTTTTCCGGCATTGGCAAGTTCACCCGAAATTTTTCCCGCGCGCTACAGCGTTGCCAAGTTGAAAACAGGCAAATTCCGTAAGTGGCATCAAAATTGAGCTATGAAGTTGCGGTTTTAACGAAAATTCTCTAAAAATTACGCACTTTTAGGATATGACCATGTTTTTAATGTCGCATTAATTTTAACATGCATTATTGCCAAATTTCCGATTTTTGAATTCGACAAATGCTACATATTCGCAAATACCCAAAAAAGCTATCTTCAAATTTGAATAAAAAGTTATCTAATCGATAGTTCGTTCGATTCCGCATCCATCGATATATTATAGCTTGCTGGGAAACTTTTGGTTCGCGAGATATCATCATTTTTGTGAACAGCTTTGTGGAGCGACGACGCTTTTTGAGTCCGGGCGGATAGAAATTTTAGCCTCCAAAAACACCGGGTAGCATTAATTCCATGGTTTCCTATGTAATTTTTGGCGCTGAATCCGAATTTGACCATTTCATAAAAAAATTGTCACCAAGATGTTGCCAAATTTGGCAAAAATTGCTTAAAATCGGCCTTTTTGGCGGATTGTAGCCTGTGACTTGCCAGGAGTTGATCAGACGACAAAATTGGTTATTTCCACAGTTAAAACTCGTTAAACTATCTACAAGCTGAGTCAAATTCTTTCTGCTCACGGTAAAATTAAACGCGCGACAAGCAGCAAACTGAAAAAAAGACACCAAAATTGGCGCTTTTTGCGGTTTTTGTCGTAAGTTTCTTGTTTTCCGATTAAGAGAATGTTTCTTAGGAAAATCCTAATTACGCCGAGTGTAACGACAAACTATTGTATTGTTACATATATGTATAGATAAAGAGCCGCTTTAACAGCGGTCTCTCGGGCCCCGCGACGCCTAACCGCCATAGTCCCTTGTCCACCCACAGGTCCTCAGTAATTTAGAGCGCCCTTGTTCCTTTTTAAGCCCCTTATTGTCCTTTCCTGGGCGTCTTCTTCAGTTTGGTGTCGTTACTTTTTTCTATTAAACTCCATTATCTCAGAATTATAAAATAAAATTGTATTCTAAATATAGGGTAATGAATAATAACGGTCAAATACCGCCAAAATTCAACGATTTGTACGTAATTTTGGCAATATTGCAATGCGTCTTGTCTTGTTTTAATGAAGTCTGTCTGAGGAGTACATTTTATTCATTAATTTTTAACAGAAAATTTTCCATTATTGTTTCAAAATGTGGTTTATTGACACGATTCGATAAAACTCACTATTTTATGAATTTTTCCTCTCTGAACTAAATACCCTAGTTATTAGTATATATCTAAGTTGAAAATTAAATTATTCTACAGAAGTGTATTATTTTGCAAGAGAGATACATTTATAAAATTTAAAAATAAGAGGTGAACAAAGAATATAGGACAATAATATCGAAAAAACCAGCGAAAATTAAAGTATTTTGTTTAAGCTTGGCAACATTGGACTATGTTCGATCTTATTTTATTGTTCAATTTTATTAAATTCTGCTCATGTTGTTCATTAGTATAGTCAAGAAACATTCTCTTAATCGGAAAACAAGAAACTTACGACAAAAACCGCAAAAAGCGCCAATTTTGGTGTCTTTTTTTCAGTTTGCTGCTTGTCGCGCGTTTAATTTTACCGTGAGCAGAAAGAATTTGACTCAGCTTGTAGATAGTTTAACGAGTTTTAACTGTGGAAATAACCAATTTTGTCGTCTGATCAACTCCTGGCAAGTCACAGGCTACAATCCGCCAAAAAGGCCGATTTTAAGCAATTTTTGCCAAATTTGGCAACATCTTGGTGACAATTTTTTTATGAAATGGTCAAATTCGGATTCAGCGCCAAAAATTACATAGGAAACCATGGAATTAATGCTACCCGGTGTTTTTGGAGGCTAAAATTTCTATCCGCCCGGACTCAAAAAGCGTCGTCGCTCCACAAAGCTGTTCACAAAAATGATGATATCTCGCGAACCAAAAGTTTCCCAGCAAGCTATAATATATCGATGGATGCGGAATCGAACGAACTATCGATTAGATAACTTTTTATTCAAATTTGAAGATAGCTTTTTTGGGTATTTGCGAATATGTAGCATTTGTCGAATTCAAAAATCGGAAATTTGGCAATAATGCATGTTAAAATTAATGCGACATTAAAAACATGGTCATATCCTAAAAGTGCGTAATTTTTAGAGAATTTTCGTTAAAACCGCAACTTCATAGCTCAATTTTGATGCCACTTACGGAATTTGCCTGTTTTCAACTTGGCAACGCTGTAGCGCGCGGGAAAAATTTCGGGTGAACTTGCCAATGCCGGAAAAAGGCGTGTCTTGTGATAGGGAACAACATATCCAACTCCGGGCAAAATCCAAGCGTAGGGTAAAATCGCCGATTTTGAATAACCCTCTTTTTCAATTGCACTGAAAAAAACACTCCGGCCGCGGAAGCCGTACTTACGGGCTATATAGAGATACCGTCCGTGTTCCGGGCTCAGAGGCCGAAAGTTCCGAGCGTAACACCCGGAGCAGTCGAAGTGCTCCCGGTTACGGATCTCTGAAGTTTTCGGATCACGTATCTAAAAACTTGAGGTCCAGCTGCCGAAGTTCAGGTCAGACATCTGAAGTATTTCGATGTATTCCGAAGGGCTCGGGTCAGACATCTGAGTATTCCGCGGTACTTACTGTAGTAATTCGGATGTCTGACCCGAACTTTGGCAGTTGGACCTCAAGTTTTGGATGCGTGATCCGAAAACTCCTTTTAAGTGCCAGCACAAGGGACTACCACTTTCATATTCGAATATGTTAATTTTTAGTACACCCATTACAACATATTTGAAGGAGAAAGGGGTAGTCGCTTGTGCTCATACATAAACAATCTAATTTAGGACCGAAAATGATCAATTATACGAGAAAACTGCAAAACTTTACTACTTTTCGCTGGTAAATAAAACAAGAACCTTTGAAAAACACCTCAAAGAAGGACAAGTTCTCACAGGGTAGATGATTAAGAGTCGATTTGACCATACATGACATTATTCTAAGCTGTTTCAATGTTCGACGAAAGTTAGGGCCAAAACACCCTCCATAATGGGACACATCCTTTTTTTGTCCATTACGAATTGAAATCGATTTTCCCTCACGTCTCTCCTTCGTCTACTCTGATGTTGATATACTGATCTAATTTTCGTGTTTTGGTTTCTTCTGTTGTAGCCTTGCCCGGACGGGATCGAGTTCCGTGCAGAACAATGTGCCTTGTACAGTTCCGAGACGGCCAACTGGACGCCGTACTGGAGCGCGGAGAACCCTTGCGCCCTGACGTGCGTCTCGCCCACCGGAGAGGTCGTAACGTTGGCCCCCAGGGTCCGTGACGGAACGAGGTGTAGACCTGGCTCTTTAGATATGTGTATAGACGGTCAATGCAAGGTACGCCCAAAGCACGTAACACATTAAAATTGAACCACATTTTGCAACAAGGAACTATAATTTCTGGCACATCCATGATAATTCCTATCTACTTAGGGAAACGAATGGTACCTACGTTGCCTCTGGAATGAGCTGAAATTGTAATTCCTTATTGCAAAATGTAGTCTATTTATATTAGGTTATCATCAAAATGAGGCCCATAGTCCACAGAAAGAATATTTGTGACCTGATTTACGAGAAGGGGCTTTATGTATCGGAAATTTGAGTTTTTGGTACCGCTGCGTTAAATAAGGAAATCTGGAAATTTTGACACTTTGATCCTGAAAGCTCAAACATTGAGGGAGTATATTACGTCCTGAAATTCCAAGACAAAATTTCTTAAGTTCTTGGCTACGTTCAGGTTAAGTTTTGCTTTATAATTATTACGTATGGAAGTTAAGGTACCGTATTACTACATGGGATTTAGATGTTTCTTATTTGGACGTATTTCTGTCAAACGGAACTAAGCGCCAACTTGAGTTCCTTTCGAGGAATTTGGAATGCCGGATAGCGCATTCTGTCAAACGGAACTAAGCGCCACGGAAAAGCATTGCGGGTATAGGACGGAACGAGCCCGACGCCCGTTTCTGCCGCCAATCTAAGCCCCCCTCTACCTTCATTTTCCTATGGCGCTTATATAGTTCCGTTTGGTAGAAATACGTCCATTTGATTTACGAATTCCCTCTTAAAGCTTCTCCAGTCACAGTAAAACTATAATAGACGTTTCGAAGGAGGCAGCTTATTAAAGATAATCGATGAATATGGCTTTTTAAAGTTGAATTATTATATGATGAATATTACAATAGTGGCCCTCCTCAATATGATTGTGAACAAAAATTTCGTGTAGTCTCTCATACTCATGAAAAAGCTTTATTATTCCTTATGGTAAAATTTTGCAAACTATAAGTTGCTTGATCTTTTTTTCAGAGGGTTGGCTGTGATTTAGAAATAGGCTCAAATTTAAGGGTAGATGCTTGTGGGGTTTGTGGTGGTGACGGGTCATCATGTTCACAACCCCTGTATCATTGGTCAACGTCTCCCACATCCCTGTGTTCAGTTTCTTGTGGAGGAGGTGAGTTTATTTTCATATTTCCTTCATTTTTTTAATGCATTGTTCAAAATCTTAAAGTTAAATTCTGTGCCGGAGTCTATATAGCGCCAAAAAACCACCAGTGATGTGAATACAGAACGGAATTCATGCTCCTCACGGTGTGACCTACATTATTACGAAACGGAATCTAATCTGTTCTTTTTGCGGAGAATCGTGCGCCATTATGGTGCTAATTTCACTATTCGCATTCATATCACTCTGGGCTTTTGGGTGCTTTATAAGTACCTTCCGGCACCGAATTTCACTCCTTAATTTTTAACTGTGTGAGTGTTCCTTTCTCACCAGGGTAAATTCCTGTAAGCGGCATTCTCCTCATTAAACTTACTTTTACACAAAACACGGCAGATGCATTAAAAATCAGCCAAGTCAACTCAAAAATAAATGTTAGCGTATGCATGGCTTTCAAAATCCCTAAAGAAGTCAACGAAAGTCATTCTATTGCCGAAATTTCGACATTTTAGACATCTCCCCTGCACGTCGCGTCAAGTTTCACAAAAGTTACCTTCCTCCGCTGATTTTTGGAATAAAGGGTCTGCCACATGAACGAATAAGGGCTCCAAAAAATCCCTTTTACTTCCAGTATTCATTTAAAACTCACAAGTGAAAGATCTCAAATTACATGATGCATTCGACCGAATAGCCGTGTTTCCACCCCTAGGATCTTCAAAAGCACGTAAACGCACATCTTCCGCGCTTTGTGAGTTTTAAACTCACAAGTGAAAGATCTCGATTCGCATGATGCGTTCGACCAAATAATCGTGTTTCCACCCCTAGGAATTTCCAAGAGCAAGTAAACGCACAATTTACGCACTTTGTGAGTGTTAAACTGACAAGTGAAAGATCTGGAATCGCATGATCCGTTCGACGTAATAGTCGTGCTTGCACTCCGAGGAATCTCCAAAAGCACGTAAACGCACCGCACATCTTCCGCGCTTTGTGAGTTTTAAACTCACAAGTGATAGATCTCGAATCACATGATGCATTCGACCGAATAGCCGTGTTTCCACCCCTAAGAATCTCCAGAAGCACGTAAACGCACATCTTCCGCGCTTTGTGAGTTTTAAACTCACAAGTGAAAGATCTCGATTCGCATGATGCGTTCAACCTAATAATCGTGTTTGCACCCATTAGAATCTCCAAAAGCACGTAAACGCACATCTTCCGCGCTTTGTGAGTTTAAGAGCATCTAAGGAAAGGCATTTTGTAAATTTTTTTGCCAAAAATATTTATACAAATACGGAGACAAATCGCAGAACACGGTATTTCCATCTCATAAGATAATAATGGAGAATTCGCAGGTGTATAAAATTTGATGGATTTTTCGTATTAAAGTGGAAACCTTTGAGTGAACTGAGCACGAGTATACCTTCGGTTAATAAATTGAACGATCATTTGAGGAGATATGACAAAGTGATCTAATACCGCCAGATGACGTCACTAGGAGGTGCATTATCTCACTTTTAAATCTATTTTTATACAATTTCCCATATCAGAAAAAAATTGTAAAAGATACTGCGTAATCAGCTCTTTAAGAACTCCCAGATACATACATGAGTCGCTCTCATAGCGCTCTCTGGCGCTTTGCGACACCTAATCGCCAGAAAACTCGGTCTTCCCACAATCCATGAGTAAGTTGACACTCCCTCATCTCATTTAACACCCCCTGTCACCACCCTCTCACTGGGCGTCCCCTTCGTCTCCTCCTAGGAGGAACCCAGTCAAGCATCTCCTTTGGCAACCTCTCTTCCGTCGTCCTATTGACATGACCGCACCAGACATAACAAGCTGTTTAGTCATGACGTCGAACACGATGTCATTTTCGACTTCCATTATCTGACGAACTCTATCATTACGGACCCGATCTCTCCGATCAGTAAAAAGTAAGCACACTGGAAAAAAACACATTGGATCTAGAGTCCAAACTCTTGAAAACATTGACAAGAAAAAACAAGCAGTGAACTCCAACACAATGTGTTGATAAGGCGCGTCATTAACTCGCACATATCAACCCCTTTAGTTTTCATATACAGAGATTTCAAAATAGGCAAACAGCATAAAAAGAGAATTCACGATCCAACACTGCGAGGTCAAAGACGCACCTTGACGAGACCGTGTATTGTGAAAGTAGAAAGCTATTCGATCGAATTTAAGTTTTTTGATCTGCCTCAAGCAAAATCTTATCAGATTCTTGAAGAAAAGTGCTACGGAATAATTTAAGCGAAGAAAGGAAAAATTCTGTCGAACTCCTAGAAGATAAAGTCGATTTAAAGGTATTTTGGGGCTAAAATACCCAAATCACCGGTNAAACTCTTGATTCAATCAGCATTTGCTTAGATCAAAAGGAAACCCGCTCAAATTAAGAGGCTAGGTTCTTGATTTAAGCAAAAATTCGATTGAATCAAGAGTATTTTTTCTTGTCAATGTTTTTAAGAGTCTGGATTCTAGATCCAATGTGTTTTTTTTCCAGTGCGTGTAAATTCTCCATTGAGAGGGTGAACTCGCACGATGCTGTTCGGCGGAATCTTAGCCAGACGTTTTGTGGTGCTTACGAGATTTTAAATTTCCCCTCTTCGCATGACGTAAACTCACCGTTCGAATAATCCTCACACCAACAAGAAACGCATTAGTGCAAGTTCTGAGCTATCCCCCCGCACACCCCCTGCCTCTCGGGAGTCTCGGGATGGCGGGAAAAGGTGGAAGTTTTCCGTGTTGTTTTTCCATCATTTTCCTTTGGTTTTTTTATCGGGCGGAATGGCGGGCGCCCGTCTCGACGGAGGGTTTCGTGTTTGACGGGAGATGTAGACGTGACTCGCGCAACTTCGCCGTTTCCAACGTGTCAATGTTTGACGATCTCGCACATCAAGTGTCGTGCATCCGATTATGGTTCGCCGACGTTTCTCGCTTCCTCGAGCGCCACTTCAACTTGCGCACGCACTCGCCATCCTATGAATGGATCTCGAAGTAGGGCATGAAATTGAGTACCACGATGTATCTTCCCTCATCGAAATTTACGTACAATGGGATAGGTGCATTGAAATTTTGAAATTCAATGGAGAATAGAGATGTTGCATGTGTGAGGAATTTGCGATTTGACTGTTGATTCTTGTGTAAAAGTTCGCGAGAAACACGATGGTGCCACTGGTTTTCTCTGAAATCAACTCCCAAACTCAAAAAAAGCTCTCAAGTTGAGGCCGAAATGGAGGGGATATCCCACGCTATCCTAAGAGTCCACCTATACATCAAAACAAACTCCCCATGCAAAGATAGGGAGCAAGTACAATAGCGGGGTTGCCGTGTTTTCAGTTTTAGAGTCCCCAAATAAAGTGGCAGCCCTGTCAATGTATTTGCTCCCTATCTTTGCATGGAGAGTTTGTTTTGATGTAGAGGTGGACTCTCAGAATAGCGTGAGATATCCTCTCCATTTTGGCCTCAACTTGAGAGCTTTTTTTGAGCTTGGGAGTTAATTTCAGAGTAAACCAGTGGCACCATCGTGTTTCTCGCGAACTTGATTTTAACCTGTAGCTTATGAAAATATAAGACATCATACGTTTCCTTCGTGTAGCCCCTTCCTTCATTGTATGTTCTCTTCGAATTCCAGGTCTCAAAAGTGCAGAACCTGTGTGCTTGAATCGTGTCACCGGCGTTGAGGTTAATTCCGAACTGTGCGATGCATCGCAGAAACCGGAGATCAGTTCTGTTGAATGCAATACTCACGCATGCCCTCCACGGTAAGACCACGTGCTTAGTGAAACTTATTTTACAATTGCCGAAGCGAAACTAGTTGTGAAGGGGGGAGAAGGGGACTGAGGAACGGAGAGTGAGGTCAGATGGGTTTGACTCAAGAAAAGAGAAAGCGCCTTCAATTGAGAATGATACTGTGCAACACGGGGAAGCTTGAATAGTTGTATCATTCCATTATTTACGATATTCCTATTTAAAGCCTGGCGTCACTAAGGGGGAGGAGGGGGTTAACCCTCTACTGCATCGCGTAGCCATATGGCAACAGCAATTATTTAATTCGTAGTAAAGTCAGGAATGCTCATATTGGTACCCTGTGTGGATTATAGGGAACTCAACCGCATTACCAACCTAAAAAAAATTGTGGTGGGGGGAACTGAAGCTGCCAAATCAACTAAATAATCATGTTTTCCCAACGGGACCATTTTTGAGGAGTAGCCGCGAGGAGCCCAACTTTGAAGGATGTTTTGAATGACTTGGCTTGCCTTCAGAGACGGGAAAAAAATCACAGTTATGGCCCATACGGTCTAAATTGAAAATTTCCTGGTCCGATGATAATAAAAACAATTTAAATATTATTTTCGGCTCAAAAACGGCAAGATGCCATATGGCAACAACATACCGGCAAACTTCTGGCCCTACACTTTTCCTGTTGCCATATGGCAACAACATACTGGCTCCGACGCAATCATGTGTCGTGCTGTCCAAAAACGGAGCTTACAATTCATCATTAGATGCTTTTTGAATTTGGTAATGTTAGAAGAATCAAAAAAACTTTTTTTCTTAGTTTTTTTTTCCAAAAGTCCCGCACAAGAGTTATGCCCTGGCATCACCATTCCACTCCTGCACTGTATGTTGTTGCCATATGGAAACAAGTGGATACTCTGGCAAGAAATTACTACATGTTGTTGCCGTATGGCAATGAGCTTTTTTAAGCTTCAAAAGTTAAAGAAAAAATTGAAATTTCAAAAAAAGCTCAAAGACGTGTCTTTTTAATTACATTTTACTATAACATATATTTTTTTCATCAAAATCGGCGTCGCAAAAAAATTCCATGCAGTAGAGGGTTAAGAAGGGTAAGAAAAAAGGAGAAAGAAAAAAGAGAAATCGGACAGAGGTAAAAAGCGGAGAAACAAGTAGTCCATCATGGGAGTTGCACTAAAACTACATTGGATCCTTACACCTTCGACGTACCTCAACTACCAGACCACGTATATTGGTTTGCGATGTTGTAGCCTTCTTGTCATACTTTATTTTTTGGATTTAAAACTACTTAACGTCAATTCTTGAAACTTTTCGTGATTTTTCTTCTCTAAGCGAAAAAAAAAACTCTGTGAAAAGTTCAAGAAATGACATTAATGTGTTCTCCAGTTATTAATGTGTTTTCCTTCAAAAAAATAGAAGGGGAGGGAGCGGATATTTTTAAACACCGCAAACGACATACGTAGCCTGATAGTTTCACTGTCGCTATTTATTCAAAAGAACAGAATTTCTAAGGACGCACGGATGTAACGTTGACAGCAATCGTGTCGTATAGATGAGTGTTTTTCTCTTTTATGTCAATATCCTCTTTCATATCATGAACCTACTACCAAAAAAGGCGCCCTTGAGTAGAGGAACAATAAGCCAGAGTATGGTTGCTGAAATTGAGAGATGTACACTCCATTGTAAAGTTTGAAGATCTCCGATTATGTTTTAGGTTTTAAGAGAAAACTTACCGCGAACTTTATTAATATTTTTGAATGAGGGCAGAACATTTTCAGCAAATTTCAAAAACAACTGTTGATCTAATCATGTAAAGAAAATAATATATGAATGAGTTTTCAGCGTTGCTTTTGAAGGCACAGGTTTAATTATTACCTCAGCCAACAGTGTGCTCATCACTGAGAAAAAACTATGGCTTATAAACCTATTAGAGGTAAATATGGAACACCACTAATAGTAGTACCTCTACATACAGGGTGATCCAAAAGTCCCTTCCACCCCCTCTAACTTTTTACCTAATTGAGATAAAAATTTGAAACTTGGAGGATATTTCTAGGTCAAAGGGAGCTACTTTTTGGCACCCCTAAAATTTTCAGGGGGGCCTCCCTTGGGGGGGCAACGGCCCCCAACTTTGAATTTTCAAATGGGAAGACCCCCTTTGTGATAGCTCGTTTGAAAGAGCATAAAAAAAGAAAACTTTTCGCGCAAACCCGAAGTCAATATCTCAAACCGTTTCAAAATGGCGGCCGGTTAAAGTTCAAAATGGCCGAAATTTCATACCGGTTATTTTTCGATGGATTTGCGCGAAAATCGGTATGGAGGGGTATTTTGACACGAGAAAAACGAATTTGACGTTAGATTTTCAAAAAAACCGAAATTTCCAAAATGGCCGCCGGTTAAAGTTTAAAATGGCCGAAAATTGTCACCTTGGGTTTTTCCTGATGGATTTGCCTAAAACTTGGAATTTGAGAGTAATTTGGCATGAGATAAACACATTTGAACTTAGATTTATGAAAAATAAATTTTTGGTCATTTTGAACTTTAACCGGCGGCCATTTTGAAAATTTTGTTTTTTTTGATAATCTAACGTCAAATTCGTTTTTCTCGTGTCAAAATACCCCTACATACCGATTTTCGCGCAAATCCATCGAAAAATAACCGGTGTGAAATTTCGGCCATTTTGAACTTTAACCGGCCGCCATTTTGAAAGGGTTTGAGATATTGACTTCGGGTTTGCGCGAAAAGTTTTCTTTTTTTATGCTCTTTCGAACGAGCTATCACAAAGGGGGTCTTCCCATTTGAAAATTCAAAGTTGGGGGCCGTTGCCCCCCCAAGGGGGGCCCCCCTGAAAATTTTAGGGGGGCCGAAAAGTAGCTCCCTTTGACCTAGGAATATCCCCCAAGTTTCAAATCTTTATCTCAATTAGGTAAAAAGTTAGAGGGGGTGGAAGGGACTTTTGGATCACCCTGTATAATAATAGCACATATACCTTAGTTATGGTCTCTGTACCTTAATTAGGTACAGAGACCTTAGTATGGTTCGCAGACCGAGAATCATTAGTTTATTTACGACTCTTATAGGTGTTCCATATTTACCTCTAATAGGTTTATAAACCATAGTTTTTTCTCAGTGATTTTCACCTAACCTCACAAGATATACTTAACATTCATTGGTTCATTGGTTTGTCAATGGTTGTACATTGGTTGTGTCATTGGTTTTTTATTATACTTGGACTTCATTTTACAGTTAGGAATTCCAATTGCTGTCTCAACCGTAGAAACATTTATGCGCATAGGGAAACGAATGGTGCATACGTTGTTTCTAAACTGAGCCAGAAATTGTAGTTCCCTTAATGCAAAGTGTAGTCCAATTAGAGCTAAATCTAATCTTGTTTGAAGGTGGCACGCTGAGCCATGGGGAAGATGTACTGTCAGCTGCGGAAAAGGTGTTCGATCAAGGAGAGTGCATTGCGCCCAAGAGAACAATGGAACAACGACAAAAGTAAGTTAATTACTTGATTTTAGACTGTAGTGGTGTCACATCATCCCTTATTCCTGATAACACCTCTCTTTAATAAAACATCCTGTAAAAATCATATTAGGAACGGATGGACAATGTATTGATAGAGTTGATCATTAAACTCATAGCAAATCAATTTTTATGCAATTAATATCTTGTCACTTTATGTTGTTTTAAAAGTGATGAAGGAATAAGGATATTGCTTTGAATTTTTAAAATTGATTCCTTAAAATTGTGGGCAGAGGAACCTTTAGATACGTCTTAAAATTCTTATACATTTTTAACGAGGATCCTTCATAACACGAAAAAAAAAATCTTCAGAGCAAGTCCCGTTTTTCATTTCTTATCAATAACTTAGCAGCTTAGAATTTTTAAATTATCTCTCTGAAATTATGCTTTTATAAACTGCAAGTTAAAACTAGCGTACTTCCGGTTGAGTTGAACATTTTGGTACCTTTCTCATATCGACTATCGTTGTGACGAGAATCACTCTATAGCTAGGAAATCGGTCAGTTCCTTGAGTTCTAGTTACAGAGAGGAAGTACTCGATGGTGAAACTGCAGAAATGCGTATATCGGTTTGCGGCGTTGCAGACTTCCTGTCATACTTTATTTTTCATATGGAAAACCACTTAACATCATTTATTGAGCACTTCGGATATTTTTTTTTCTCTATGTGAAGAATATTCTGTGAAAATTTCAAGCCACGATGTTGGTTCGGCTTCCTTTTAAAAAATAAAATAGGAGCGGAGATTTTCAAACACCGCAACCGATATACGCATTTTTGCAGTTTCACCATCGTACTGTAATATCAACAATCAGCCCATAAGAAGTTGAAGCCTTGAGGAGAAAAGTTTTTGAAGAATATGTAACTTACACTCCGAAAAATCTTCAGGGGTGTACATAAGCACGTAAATATATCTAAAAATATCTACCGAAACTCAACGGCCTGCGAACGGAATTTCGAACCTCATTTTTGACGCGCCTCTCCGTCAATCTACGCTCCAAAGTGCCGACGCATGTTTCCAAGCGCGAGTTCTCGTGTCCTCGGCGCTGTGAAAAACTTCGAGCGCGCGTGTAATTTTTGATCCGCGCAAAAGACTGCATTATTAACCTCCACTAAGCATTCACCTTTTACGAATCCCGCGGCGGGCTTGCTCAAACACCGCACGGCGGATCCCTTAATTTATTTATCATGGAGAAAGGGTCGAGACGAATTAAGAAGTTCAACCCGCGTTGTCATGTGAGTAAGAATAAGACGTGAAATACAAATTTGAAACCTTAAAATGGCGCTTAGGACGCAAAATAAAACATACACTGGAAAAAACACATTTGATAGAGTCCACACTCTTAAAAACATCGACAAGAAAATATACTCTTGATTCAATCGGATTTTTGCTTAAATCAAGAACCAAGCCTCTTAATTTGAGCGGATTTCCTTTTGATTTAAGCTTAAATCAATTGAATCAAGAGTCCTTTTCTTGTCAAAGTTTTCAAGAGTCTGGACTCTAGATCCAATGTGTTTTTTTTTTTTTTCCAGTGTAAGATACAAAATCGGGACTCTTACAATAACAGCGATGAGGAGCAGTATAGGTTTGTGTTTCTTTCTAATTTTTCATTTTGTATTTCCCGGTGAAAATGCAGATGTGAGAGATGTACTGCCGTGCTAAGGAAGAACGCCGTATGAACATTCGAGAGTTGCCAAATCTCCTTCGATAAAAGGTTTATTTTCGAGGAAAATTGTGAATATTTTTCCTTGAGATTTTCAGACGTTTTAGATCAAATTACAAACAAAATTATCTGAGAAATCGGTAGGCAAACATTCCAAAAATTTTCCTGAAAATTAGTGATTTACCAGGGAAAATTTTGTAACGTCTGAAGGCTTGTACGGCGTTTTTCCTTAACATGGCAGAGTAAAACGTCCCGGTTTTTTACTTCATGCTTTATTTTGCGGCCTAAAACTATCTCGAGACGTTAAAATTTGATATTCTGAAACGTCAATCTGCTGTAAGACGCCTCTCTATATCGGCAAAGGCAATTTACCCCAACCCAGTTTTTGAGATTTTGCGCTAACGCCATTTTAAAAATAATCGGTTCGATTCATGTTGGGCCTAGAGTCCCTTTATACTGAGAGTCAAGACAATGTGAATCCATTTCTGATTGGTTCACGTATTTTCGGCCTTCGCAGTGTCACAAACGGGAATAAAGATTACATTTTCACCGATTGCAAAGATTATAATCTGGAACGGACCAAGGAATTACGGGTTCGGCAAGGAACAAACGGAATTAGAGAAGGAACGGAGAAAGGAGTTTGAGAATGGGCCGATCAAAGATTACGAAAAACGTTCAATTTCTGTAATCTTTATTTCCGTTTGTGACTCCATGAGGGGTGTTGTCTTGACTCTCAGTATAAAGGGACTCTAGTAAAAACTAGGCTTTCTCGTGCGGCCGCGACTTTTCAACACCTAAAATTGCGAATAAACCCCAATTTTGACAACGTCGCAAAAGAGTCAAGTGCCCTGCTGAAGTGTGTGTGTGTGTGTGTGCCCGGAGGAGGGGAAGGGCGCGAGCCAGTCGGAGTAAACAAACTTTAATTATTTCGCCAACGTTTATTAATCACAAATTAAGCATTGCCCAAACTTTTCTCGGTTTGATGTCTTCCCGGCCACTTCCAGAGCCCCCACACCCACATCCACCTACCTCTTGAAACTTTATTTCATTAATTACTTCCCGGCGATGATTTGCGGTGCACCGAGATCAACGATGACTCCGCCGATGAAGAAAAATCACCTCACCCCTCTCTCGTAACTCACTGTTAAAAATTAATCGAATCTTACACGGAGAGGCTATGTGACAGACGTTTACGTGGAAAAAATAAAGTATCGTAGGAATTTTGCAAAATCGCAAGCTGACGTACGAGGTTCTGCAGTTTCACCATCGGTACGTTACTATTTCTTGAGGTTCCTGAAATTGTGAAGGAAACTTAATATCTTGGTTAGGAGTTACTTTAAGCAAGCTTCGTTGTACAAACGGTATTTTACGTGGAAATTTAATGAAGAAACATACATCATAACGCTTGAGTTTGCATCTTGTCTAGTTGTCCATTTCTTACCCCATTCTACGCATAGCTGCATTACGAATATATGATCTGCATTACGAATAAATGATCTACATTTTGAAATACTACTGTTCCTGGCTCATTCTTAAATGTGCGTAATTGCACAGGGAAACTAGTTCCACATTAAGTTGTTTCTAAAATGAGCCGAATATTATGGTTCGTTATTGCAGAATACATATAGTCCATATATGGTTGAGGATCGGCGTTCTACCCTGTCCAGGAGTCCGTCCAAAATCTTGCATCGATCAGAAAAAGCCCATTCATAAAAGCACGTAACTGCATAGGAAAACTAATGCCACATATCTAAAATTGTTTCTAAAATGAGCCGAAAATTGTGGTTTTTTCTTGCAAAGAGAAGAGTATGTCCATATATGTTATGGATCGAAGTTCTATCCTGTCCAGTAGTCCGTCCGAAATCTCACAACGATCAGAGAAACCCATTCATAAAAGCACGTAACTGCATAGGGAAACTAATGCCACATATGTTGTTTCTAAAATGAGCCGGAAATTGTGGTCCCTCCTTGCAAAATATAGTCCATATAGACTAGACTGTGGATCGAAGTTCTACATCTGTCTGGTAGCCCGTCCGAAATCTTGCAACGAGCAGTAAGAGCCCTCCATCTCCGAAAATACCCGGGGAATAATGATGGAAAAAATAATGAAATGAGAGTGGACGAGGAATTCTCCTTAACGACAATGGAGTCATTACAAAGAGCACGCCTCATTTCACTGCGATGTCTGCGAGCGGTTTGGAAGTTTGTTTTCGAGGCGGAGGAGATTCGGTTTCAACATCTGAAACGGTCGATCTTAAAACCACCCATACCCCCTACATGGTGAGCCTTTAGAGTGTATGTCTTCTTAAGGAACCGAGGGCTCATCGGAAAATATACTTTTCAGCTTTTAATATCGGCTGATTCATCTGCAATCACGCAGAACTTCATAAAAATCGCTTTTGCCATGGCTGTTTAATATCTCAGCGCCTTGAACGGAGCCGAGCCCTAGCGGAGAGAGAATCTAGTTCAAACTTTAGTTAATTAAAAGTTAGTTCAAAATAGCTTTTCTTCCAGTAACTTCGGTTGCGAAAAAATTAGCAAAGCTACACAGCTTTTCGTCTCTCACCTTATTCACCGGGGTTGCGTAAAACACGGGGAGTGTGGGTAGGTACTGAGGACAGTTTTTTATGCCACCGTGCATTCGAAAAATGTTCCTATTGATAGGATTCCTGTCACAACAACATAAGGACTCTGGCCTTTAATTTTGTCATTTTTTTCACAGTTCGTTCCACCGTTGTACTGGGCCGATTTTCATAATTTTAGCGGCAACCGACGGGTGATAGTCCCTAGATGAGCCCTATCTTTATTTACAGTTTAGCTCCCGCGGATCACAAAACGAGCCTTAGAGTATACTTGAGAGAAATTTATTCCATTTCGGGCGATGGCTTATTTTTCCCCCCAATCCTTACTGGTTTAATGGAGAACTTCCTCGCCAAAATACCCAGAAATTGCCGAAATTGTATCAGATGATGCCGGGCATCGGAGCAAAACAGTTGTTGGCAATTGAATAATTTACTAGATTTGAAAAATTCGCCTTCTGCTGCGTCCGTAGCAATTGTTATGAACATTTTGTGCGTGCTGATTTCGGCTAATTACATACCTGACTCTCTGAAGGCATTTTACGTGCGAAAGCAATGCACCTTCAGCTGCGTCTGCTGCAATTGTTGTTTCAAATATGTGGTGCGCGCTGATTTCAGTTCATTACATACTTGACTCTCTGAAGGCGTTTTATGTGCGAAAGTAGAGCACCCTGTAGGGGAAATACAGAAGTGAGATTGAATGAATCACTCAATCCCTTCTTCGTTCGTTCTCCAACAGGGTGCTCTACTTTCGCATATAAAACCCCTTCAGAGAGTCAAGTATGTAATGGAATGAAATTAGCACGCTTAACATATTCGTAACGACAATGGCTGCAGATGCAGCAGAAGGCGAATTGTGCAGTTTAAAAAACAGTATGATATGAAGTCTGCATGAAGAAAGAGGGTATGTATTCGATCGATATGAATCGAGCAATAAATGAAGATCAACGTGAATCGATCGAAACAGATTCAATGGAGGTTTCATGATATTTTGTCAACGATTTTTTGTCCGCGCACCTTTTTTGACCAGTAGTTTACGCCCACACGTAAAATAAGCAACGGTCCATTGACTTGGTCCAGGCGTTATATTTTAGTCGGTATGTAAAATTATATTGACAATATGGAAATGAGAAATTGAGAGAGAAGGAGGTGTTGTTATGGTTGCTCATTTTTTAAATGAAATGTTACTACTTTCGAATCATCTTTTTAAATTGTCATTGGTGGATATTTGGTTTTATTTCCATCCTTAAAATATTCGATGTACAATATACCTTATATATGTATAGGTACTTTTTTTATTTTTTTTAATTTTTTCTTTACGAAATTATTACTTCATTTTGAAAACATTTATACTTCTAAAACGTGACGAATATTTGTAAAACCTTTTCCAAGCAACATTAATCTCAATGAGCCGCAGTTGTGCCGACAGAAACTGCAAAAATGAATAAAAGAGGGGAAAAAACCAAGAAGTACGCAATCTTTAACTTTAACCCATTTGTACATCGATCTTTTAGAGTCAAATACGTCGAATTTTGAGCGTTTGGTTGCTCGTACACCTCGCTGCAGCACAATAAAAGCACAAACTGTAAAAAGGAAAATTAAAGTGCTTTGGAAATCATTAAATTTGACACGAAACCACCAATATTCAAAAAACACACATTATATTATTATTATCCTTTAATAAATTGATACATATTTTTTCCTCATCAATTTAAATGAGAATAATCAATGCAGAGTGTGCAAACATTTCAAAATCATGAGTTAAAAAACGCTGACTATGCGAGTATAAATATTAAAACCGAACAGAGCGGAGCAGCGGCGTGCTACCAGCGCGAGAGGCTCACTGGTGCCTACAAACCTAAGTGGATACTTCACGCATTGCACAATGCTTGAAGTATCTACTTAGGTTTGTAGGCGCCAATGCGCGTTTGCGCTGGCCGCCCGCTCGCCGTGCGGCGGCGGATAAAGCAACTATTTCACAACAGAGGTTGCACAGTATTATACGAAATTGAACGTATTAAGAATGACAGGCATCCTTTAAAAGTACAGATCTTTCCTCGCAAAATAAATCAAGATACTTATCGTGCGCTGAAAAAATCTAAGAGTCTTTAGCTGATGCAAATACAGAGGTTTATCCGGTTCAGGTATAAGAAAGTGGGAAAATCTTGAAAGATAATTAAGTCCTGTTACACTCTTTAGTGTAACAGGACACTACACCTCTTTGGTGTAGTGAGTTTTAGTGAAACTCGCATTTACTATGAACAAATCCAATTGCGATATCTCGAGAATAGGTTTTAGCCAAAAATTTCATTTCTCGCAATTTTAAGTCTACATGTACCATAGACTGACCTGCTTTTGGCGTGCATTTTTGTTGCAATTCCCCCCCCCCTTCAAGACCACTGCGGCCTATTCACTTAGAGCGAATTTCGTTTTTTCGTACTAGAAGTTGGCAGTAAGTTAAAAACTTCAACCAAACCCACACGCAAAGATTCGCGTTATGGAACAGAACTCTGTCCCTCACTGTAAGCGAGCCTGCCTTACTTTGAAAAAAATGGGTCCTTGTTTGATTGATTGAAAAAAAAAAACCGCAAAAAAAGTGAGTTGCAAGGTGCATTTTGGATAGCGCCTACCCCTGCGGAAAGATTAGTTCCCTGGATGGAGACCTTTAACGGATGATCGTAATTTATGGTCTTTAATTCGTTGGTTTCGTCAAAGGTGGTCAACCGGCGCATACAAATGCAACCTTGCCGTTGCAATAAATAACGGGGGAGCGACGGCCCGGGAATTTCAATTAGCCCTCCACTGCGCCCCCCTTCTAGGTCCACATCTCAACGTTGCCAGATTCCGTGATGAAATCTGTAGATACTTGAATCGCGGTCAATCAAAATTTAACACCCAGTAAGAAAAAGTAACCGAAATTTTGTGTTAGTATGGGAAGAAGAACACAAAGTAACCTAAACGTGCAGTTAATATTTTTTGGTTAGTTTTTCTTTGGGTTACATTCACCAAGTCTTCGGATTCAATCGATCAAATCTTTGGGTTGAAAATTTGCAACATTGATAAAAAAATCAGGCGCGAAACGTCAGGATGTACCAGAGTAACCTAAATGTGCGATTAATCTTTTTTGGTTCGTTTTTCTTTGGATTACATTCACCAAGTCTTTGGGCTCCATTGACCAAATCTTTGGGTTGAACATTTGCAACCTGGTTATAAATCAGGCGCGAACCGTCAGAATGTAACCTGGATCCCATTGATGTTACTCCAATGCGGTATCCACTTGCAAGTCGCAACTGCACTGAGTGATGGTAAGAGCGACAAGATTACATTAGTTTAGCAGGACACTTTCTTCATCCACAAATGTCTCAGAGTAACCCACAGTTTTGGTCGATTTAACCATTAGCGCGCCATCTTTGCACAGACGATGAATATCCACCTAAAGAAAAGGTTTCCGCCTCACCCCATCCAAAAAAATAACCATTTTTCAATGTCTCAAACATGTTGATCAGAGTAAGCTACGGTTTCGGCCGATTTTACTGTTTGCGCAATATTCGCACGGACGATGAAAGTCCTCCCGAAGAAAAGTCTTCCGCAAAAAGAAGAGGGAAACAAACATTTTTCAATGTGTCAAACATGTTGCTCAGAGTAACCTACACTGGAAAAGAAACACATTGGATCTAGAGTCAGACTCTTAAAAACGTCGACAAGAAAAAGTACTCTTGATTCAATCAGAATCTAGCTTAAATCAAGAAACAAGCCTTATTAATTTAAGCGGATTTCGTTTTGATTCAAGCAAAATTCCGATTGAATTAAGAGTATTTTTTCTTGTCAATGTTTTCAAGAATCTGGACTCTAGATCCAATGTGTTTTTTTTTTTTCCAGTGTAAGGCCGATTTTACCATTTGCGCAATATTCGCACAGAGGACGAAAGTCCTCCAGAAGAGAAGTTTTCCGCAAAACCAAACCCATTTTTCGATTTCTAAAACATGTGAGATTTTAACACCCGCTGTTTTCTTTCTATCAAAAATGCTGGGTTTTCGGCACGACCCGGCAACAATGCCCGTTCGATTCATAATACGGAACATCAGCGGTTGTCGAAACCGCTTGCTCAGATAAGCGCCGCGGATAAATCCCGCGAAATCGATTTTTAACGATCGGAAAAGCGCCGGCAAATTTCGTCGCCCCTCCGACGTAAGGGCGTATCTCGATTCCCACGTGAGCCATGTTTTACATATGAAGCCATGCTTTCTAAAGGGCTCACCGCGGAAATAGAGATACGCCCCCACGTCAGAGGAGCGACGATTTGACCGCACTGTTGCGCTCCGTTGGTCACCATGGTTTTTCCGCATGTTCTTCGCGTTAGCGGTGAAAAAAGGGCGCTGCGATTTAGGCGTTCCTCGCACAAACGCCACACAAGCATCAGGATGCCGCAAAAATTTTGCAACTTAGTGCTTCATTCACGACTGAAAGATTCGAGTATGCTGGATCCCGGCGCACGGTGGATCGAGTCAATAGGTGATGTCGCGCATGATTTAAAAACTTTAAAAGCGCATATCTTCATTAATACGAAATGTTGATGTTTTAAAAGTTTTTCCATTGATTTTCCCGTGAAATTTTCTTTTAAGAGCATCCCTTAAAATTAAAATTGTGACGAGATAAACTAAAAAATTACAATTTTTTTCAAAAATTTCACTTCTTCCAAAGACCCGTTCCACCGCGCGACGTTTTTCCCGGAAACTTTTTTATTCTTGCTCAATGCTTTGTAACTTTAATTGGATCTCGTTGAGCAGAAAGGAACCAAGCCCTATCAGCTATTCCCAAAGTTGATGGGGCAATTTAATCTTTAGCGTCAGGATCTGTGTGCTTTCAGTGAATATTCTGCATGATAAGAAGAAAATTCCTAAAAATTTTCTAAGGAACCCGTACAAACGTCCTCTTGCAAAAAAGTGCATTGCCCAGTTAAATTTGGCAATAGCTGGTGTGGCTTGATTATTCTTTTCTACTGAACGCGGTCCAATTACAGCTTGTTTTGGTTGATAAAAAGCTCACCCACGGTTTTTTTTTGTCTAAATGTCGTAAATGAACCCTCGTACACAAGGTAAGGATTTTAACGCTGTAAAATATGTCTATATCTGAGTCGTGAAACACGTATCTTTCTTTGCGACGTTGCAGGTTTCTTGTCACATCTCATTTTTCAATAGAAAACCAATGATTATTATTTCCTGGAATTTTTTCTGCTTAATCTTCATCCTGTGTAAAATATTCTGTGAAAAGAAATGTCGAAACATCGGAATCGAACTAAGTGTTCTGCAACTGTAACCGAACACAACTACAAATTTTCTCGAAAGAACTTTGGAAACGCGCAAATATTTATTCGGCTCATTCCTCCTCATTGTGCAAAAAGCAAGGTTGCGTAAGTTGGAAGAAGCTGCGTGATGATGATATTTACTTCTGTTAATATATAGGCCAAACTAAATAATTAACTTTAATTTCCTCTCATTTGTATTAGGTTTCAAGCCACCTGTGTGAGCACAGAACGCATAAACCGAGATCTCACGAAACTTGCAACTTAGGACCTTGCCCGCCTTCGTGGGAAACAGGTCTCTGGTCTGGGGTAAGTTCAAAAGAAGAACGTAAGGACATTTCAATGTTGACGAATTTTTCCTAGTAAATTGCACTTTTATTGGCAGAAATTTCAAAAATTCTAACCGAAAATGTCACCAATTTTTACACTGATTTCGTACACAAATTAGAAAACTTTCGGACAAAAGTCGTACAGGTACTTTGTTGTGAAAAATTGAATTGTTCAAGGCAATTTTGCGATCTCGGAATAGAGTTACGTTCCTTCGCCCGGAGACCGACAAAATATGAAATTTCTGTCTAATGCACAGTCCGACCGCCCAATTAGACCAAAATGACCGAGGGTGCAAGACAAAATCAACATCAACCGACAGCCCCCGCAGTAGCTCGACTGTGCGTGTGACATCGGGTTTGCGAGAACGACACGGATTGATTTTTATTTGAACGCATTTAAATCAAAAGAAACTAAATCAATTGGACTGCATTTTGCAATTTGGAACTATAAATTCTGGCTCTTCTGGAAAAACACTTATGTGCATAGGGAAACTAATGGCACGAACGTTGTTTTTAAACCGAGCTAGAATTTATAGTTCCAAATTGCAAAACGTAGTCCAATTGTAACATGAGCTCTGTCATGCTTGTATTCCAATGAATCTCAGGGCTCAAGTCAGAATGAATATTGTTCCTTCGATTCAAATGCGTCCATTTGAGGGTAAAAATATACATTGATGCATTCCGCGCTATAGGTCTCTGGACGAGATACGAAATACTCTTTCGAAAAACAGACGTGAAACATCACGCAGGATAGAAAAAAGTGCATATTCAAAATGTCTACCCTAAAGATGGCCGCATAATATTTTCAAGAGTTAAATTTAAGAAAATCGTAATTTCTCCCATGTATTGTAAAGTCACGTGCTGAATCTGTGAAGCCATGCAAAACCTACTTGATTTCGCTTTGATCATCTACCATGGCATTTCCATTTACCTTTATTCTGATACATTTATCTCTTTATTTTAAAAATGGACCACTAGACAAGGTACGAATGTAAGCAATCTGATACATGTTCCTTGACCAGAATTTCACGTAGAACACGATTCGCACAACAAAAACTAATGAAACCAACTCCTAACGAAGATATTAACGTTTTTATTTCACATTGGCTACGAGGAATTTGAACTGCCCGCTCACAAGAAACTCAAAGCTCTACGTGAGTCAAATCGCGCACTACAACGGCTTCAGCAAGCTTCTCAAACGAGCAATGTTCATTTCCCAACATGTGTTGTTAAAACTATAAGCAATTCGCTATAGCTGAGCCGAAGCGTCAAAATTGAGGTTGCCAGATTTTTAAATCGCAGATACTGTCATGATAACGTTTAGCGCGCGATGCGAATTACGTAGAGCATTTAAGTTTTCATACGCGGGTGGTTTGAATTTACGCATCAAGAATCATTAAATATCTTCGTAAGGAGTTAATTTCGGTAATTTTCGTTGTGCGCATCGTGTTTTACGTGAAATTTTGGTTAAAAAACATGTATCAGAATGCTAAAATCCGTACCTTGTCTAGTGGTCCATTGGAGGGTCCTAACTTCGTTTCTCTGTACCGATAAACACTGTTTCTTACATTAAGAAGAGTTAGATTATTATATTAATTGAGTGTTAAGTGTTCATTACGTTAGTTTCAAGACTGATATGTGATTTTCTCTTTCAGTGTTCAAAATCCTGTGGCGAAGGTGTGCAAACTCGAGAGGTGACGTGTAAACCATCGGAGATCGACCCCTCTCTATCGTGTGATCCTCTAAGTAAACCTGTTCAGAGTAGACGATGCACAACTGGAATGCCATGCACAGGTACTTATTCCTCCAGCTCTGGTATTTGAGAGATTTTACCAATAAGGTAAAAACTCAGTAGCCCAAAGGCTGAAGTCAAAAAAATAGTTTTCTTTCCGGAGAAAACGCAAGAAAATATGTAAAAAAAACTGTAGGTACAGTCGCATCTAAGAATTTTTAAAAAATGGACGATCTTCAAGAAGGGCACTTAAGTATCGAGTCATAATATTTCAAACAAAGCGATTTTTTGTTTAGCAGGATTAATACAAAGGATTGGGTTCGATTTGCTGGCCTTAAAAATTGTCCTTTATGGTCCAAGACTCATGAATTGGTAAAAAAAAAAAAAAAATGTTTTCTTAATGTCAAGTTGCCAGGCACAACAAATTAGACGTTATACGATTATACATTTGCAACATATAAAAATTATCAACACTCTCTTCTTCTCTACGTTTCACAGAATCTGAGGATGAGAGTTATGCAGAGAAAGACTCGCAAGAATTGAGCTATCCCCTACTGAAAGCCACCGCAGAGAAACTTGTCAGTGAACTGAATGTGCCATCGGAATCAACGTAAGTGATCGATCGTATCGAAACCCTTTAGTATAACAAGTTTATTAGAGTTAGAAGAGAGGAATCTTTTCATTTATTTTAGTAAGTACGAATGGTGCTGATTAGAATTTGTGTGTCCGCGAATTATCAAAGGAGCCGAGTACATACTCAAAGGGTGGTCATGCTTCGTCATCGCCATCTGATGGAAAATAAGTCCAAGTCCCTATATGGATTAATTTTCTGAAGACCGAGCGATATAATCTATTTATCGATGTTCGATGTATTCATTTTTGGTAGGACATGCAACTTTTTTTTAATAAATAAGCCGACAGACTTATGTCCCTAGTCCACTGTCAAACATTATTTTATGTTGATGAATGGACAATTTTAGGCTTCAAGTTTCTTTAAACTATTGTCATAAACGTATGTGTGAGTTGGCTCATTCACCCATTGTTTTCATCATCAGGTTCATAGCGGAGGAATGGGGCCCCTGTTCTGTGACCTGCGGAGAAGGAGTCCGAACTCGTCAGGTCAACTGCAAAATTTTCCTCGATTTTTCAAGGACCGTCGCTCGATTGCCGGACAAACAATGCCAAGGACCCAAACCAAAAGATACTGAACGTTGCGTTGAGACACCGTGCTCCTTCTCAAACAGGTCGGTGAGCAATTTCATGACCAGTGCAATTGAAAAGATCGCTCGAACGCGATTCTGAACTATAGTGGAACGTTTGCCATTTATTGGCTCAATAAATGAGCTTAAATTTTTGCGACATAGTTTTTAGAAAACTGGAAAAAGTTAATCGTCGAGATCTTAATATTTAATATCTCGAACTAACTTGAAAAAAATCACATGGATGGATGGTGGTCACTTTTCGCGTGAATGGTCGCATTGCAAGATATAATTATTTAACAACTGGAATCAAAGATATAGAATATGGTTATTGACAGGAGACACACTCAGGTTACTCACAAATGACTTACAAGCGGCTCAGTTCATTTTCGTAACATTGAAGGGCGTAAATTTAAATTTTAAGCGAAGATTTCCAAGACACGAACATGAAATATCAAAACTAAGCTGTTATCTTCTTCAATCAGAAAATAAGAGATAATTAGGTGTATTGTAAATGAGAACTTCTATGCGAACAACACGCGCTCGAGGTATGTCCACTTTGCGTGTACAAAAAATTGAAGGCGCTCTAGATCTCCTTAAGCTTTAACGCCTGGATACAACTATACGTGCTCGAGGGATGCGCGCGTCACGTGTGACGTGGAGTTGATGCAACTATTTAAACTTGATGGATGTCCGTATCGCACCGACTGAAGTGCGTAACCGCGTATCTCCATTGCGGTGTTTCAAAATTTCCGTTCTTAATTTATCTCTTCCATGAGAAGCAATCCAAATTTACGACTTTAAATTTTGAACCAAATCTTCTGCTATCGAATACGAAAAATCATGGAGAATTTAAGTTTTATGTTGACCAGCTTCTCGAAAGAAAAATACAATTTCAAAGGAAGTCTGCAGCGTCGCAAATGGAGAAACGTCGTCTCTCATTTTGCCCAAAAATATGTATGTATAAAATTGAAGGCATTATGACTGGCCTCTCTCAACTTATATTCCTCTGTAACGATAAACAATGGGACGCGATTGCTACGGCGCCTTGATACAACTATACAACCTCGACGGATGTCCGTATTGCGTTCAAAAACTTGAAGGCGATTTGACTTCTTACGCATACTACCTGTAGTTGATTCGATCGACAAACGCGTTGGTTCGCGGTGACGGCAACTTGATGCAACTTTTTAAACTTGATGGCTGTCCGTATCGCTCCGACTGAAGTGCGAAACCACGTATCTCCATTGCGGTGTTTCAAAATGTCCGTTCTTAATTCATCTCTTCCATGAGATACAATCCAAAGACACAAAAAATTCTAACGCTGGATTTGTCATCGCATTTACTTATTCTCTTATACGATTATTCATTGACGGTGCATGTATTGGAGAGTTGTTGAACGGTTCTAAATGGAGTATATGTGTTGTTAAGCAAATCGTACAAATTTGTGTGTTTTTTTCCAGGGTGGAAACGGTGAGAGACGGATTTGCAGACTCGTACAAATCAGGGATGAGTTATAGTGATGTCAACATCAAGGTAGCGCCAGGATTTGCAGGAAAATCGACGTATTCTTGGCGAACAAACGGGTTCAACCAGTGCACCGCGTCATGCCTCGGAGGTAAATTTTAAGTCAAGGATCTCTTTAAACCTCTTTTAATCACAATGCAACACTGGAAAAAAAAACACATTGGATCTAGAGTCCAGACTCTCAAAAACATCGACAAGAAAAAGTACTCTTGTATCAATAAGAATTTAGCTTAAATCAAGAACCAAGCCTCTCAATTTAAGCGGATTTCGTTTTTACTCAGGCAAAAATCCGATTGAATCAAGAGTATTTTTCCTTGTCAATGTTTTCAAGAGTCAGGACTCTCCAATATGTTTTTTTTTTTTTTTTTTTTTTTTTTTTTTTTTTTTTTTTTTTTCTAGTGAACCCTATGGGTCTTCTTAGGGAAAAAAGCCTTGTAAAGAACGACTATTAATACGACCCTTAATCTAATTTTCCTAGATGGGTCACTGAACCTTGTGTTTTTTATTTAATACTCTGACAGCACCAGGTGAGTAGATTACGTGGTGATTAATTGCATCTATTTTTGGAGCCAAAATCCTGAACAAGCCCGCCATTAAAAAGCTCGTAGACCCGAAGGAATTTCAGACACCCCAAAATAGCGGGAAATTGATGGAAGTGATGGACAACGACGGTCAAATCGGTATCTCCTCTCTTTTCCCTCCGATGTTTGTTAAAGTAAAATGTATTTCAATGCGGATATTGTTACTTGTCAACTGCGGATAACATGAATGAGATTCAATTCTTTGAATCTGAGGCTATAGTTTCGACTTTCCAATTGCTTTCTTATACGAGGAGTAAATAGACGTTTAACAGAGCAAGTAGAAACTGCGTATATCTCGGTTTCTGCGTTATTTTTTCGCGTTTTTGAAGTGTACATTGTGTTCTACGCGTCATTTACCTTCGGGCTAATGTATCTGCAAGTCAAAATTCGTTCATGGATTAGTGACCAATTCCCCCTCTTCTACAGGGTAATTCAAAAGTCACGCACCACCGGCCATAACTTTAGTTTTGATTACGATATCGACTTGCGGTTTAAGACGTTTTTCTCTATATCGAGGGGGAAACTTTTTTAGGTTCTTTCCAGTTTTTGATCCCCTTGGGGGGAGGGCGGGGCGGGGGGCAACTAAAAAATTTCAAATGGCCTCCCCCCTCATGGCCCGTGGTGCGTGACTTTTGAATAACCCTGTATATCCTCCAGACCATACCTACCCAAGACCCTCCTTCGAGACCTTCCTCCTCTTCCTGTGCTGTCGTAGGTAACCTTCTCTTTGGTTTCCTCCAGGGATGCAGACGAGCTTGATCCAGTGCGTGCGGGACGAGGACGGGAAGGTGTCCTCGCCGTGGATGTGCGACTCGAACCAGCGGCCGGACGAGCTGACGCAGCTGTGCAACGTGCACCCTTGCCCGCCCCGGTGGAACGTCTCTGAGTGGTCGCCGTGCTCCCACCCGTGCGGCCTCGGCTCGCAGACCCGGACGGTGACCTGCATCCACGAGGTGACCCAGGGGCCCGGCAACACCCTCGTCGTGCCCCCCGACCGCTGCCCCCAGCCGCCCCCCGCCGGCACCCGCTCCTGCAACGTCCTCGACTGCCCCGTCAAGTGGCACACCTCTGAGTGGTCCCAAGTGAGTACATTACATGGATTGCATTTTGCAAAAAGGAACCAGAGGCATTGCAATGTTGCTAAGATTGTGCAACTTCTTCTGTCTTGGAAGAAAAGCCTGATAATCTATAACCAGTTTTTATGTCACTCGCCAAAAACTGTAAAAGGACAAAAATTATCATGTAAATTTCATATTTTTTCAGGATTTCAATAGTTGTATTCCAAAGGATGAAGTCGCACAATCTTCGCAACATTGCAATGCTCCTGGTTCCTCTTTGCAAAATGCAATCCACATACCCTCACACTAATTCCATTGGTATCTAGAGGCGGTGGCAATTTTTCACGTTGGCAACACTGTTTTACCTCCATTGGAATCCATTGAAAATATCGATTTCAAGTGGATTTTAGGCCTCACCAAGAATCGATAATTTAACATACATTTAAATGGAGGTAACACAGTGTTGTCAACGTTCAAGAATCGCCTCTCTCTAGAGGTGAGACTTTTGCTTTGGAAGGGACGTTAAGACACAGTATTAAACAAAGCCGTAACTAAGGGGACACTCATAGGTAATGATATAGGTATAAACGGAGGAAATAATCGTGTAAGCAACCGTAAGCACAGCCGTCATAGATAAAACAAAGATAGCAGAATCATGAAAGTATCGACAGCCATTATCAAAGTCAAAATTGGTCAAATAATTGGTTTTAGCTTTTCGCATGCCATCAAATCTCCCTAGTAAATTAAACGTACTGTCGTTAGAATGAGTGTGAAATCCGGCAATTGCCACTTTTTAGGTCTCTCTCTAGTTTAATGTCATTTTTTGACCTGGAAGCAAGGTATAGGTTCAAGGTGATTTTTGTGTTAATTTACATCTCTTACGCCGGAAATAACATCCAATCGTAGCGTAATGCCGTGGCTTGTGCCTTGTGCCATGGTCAAATAAAAACATTAAACTCAAAATAACTCTCAAGACGTTACTATTTTTAACTTTTATAACGAGATTTACGAGAGTCAAATCTCACTGTTAGATTTGATGAACACCCAACACCAATAATTTCAATTTATGTATAGCCCCTCTAACATAAATAAAAATGTGGGAGTTACAGATAATCACAGTAAGACCCTAGAGCAAGGCCAATTTTGGTCCTAAGGTGTGGCCGATTTTGGCATTTGATGACCCCCCTGGTTTAATTTTTATCAGTATTCAACCTTAAGTACTGACTCGTTAGGGATGATTTTTCACACGCAACTTTTTTACTCTCCAGTGTTCGAAGCCCTGCGGAGGGGGCAAGAAAACGCGGAAAGTGCAATGCAAGCAGGTGCTAGCGCAAAACCACATCCAGGACAAGCATGAGTCCCTATGTCCCTCGACGGAAAAGCCACCCGACTCCCGTCCCTGCAACACGAAGGAGTGTCCCAAGGAAACAACGCAGCCGATCATCGAGTCCTCCGACACGCCGTACAACCAGGCCAGCCCCTCCAAGAAGAAAGTCCAGTTCAAGATCGGCGGGCCCGCCGTCATTTTTCAGGGCACCACAGTCAAGATCAAGTGTCCCGTCAAGCGATTCGACAGGTGAGATACGCCTTTTCACTCGAGGGCCTTGTCTCCACGGGACGTTTTCATGGGATTTTTTCCAAGTTCGAATCGCAGGAAATGAAACTTCTGGGATTTTTCCCAGTTACCGTCTCCACGGGACAAGGCTCTTACGGTCCTGCGACTAGTTTACGCGGGAAGATAACTTAGGTAAAGTCGAGTATTTAACCGGGATTAAAATAATAATTGCACTCAATTGACAATTGGACTACATTTTGCAATTAGGAACTATAAATTCCGGCCCGGTTTAAAAACGACGTGTGTGCCATTAATTTCCCTATGCATTTAAGTGTTTCCTCAGATGAGTCAGAATTTATAGGTCCAAATTGCAAAATGCAGTCCAATCAGACACATTATTTTAACCAAACAAACATGAATAATGGAGTAATCAACAAAATATACCGCACAATTCGTTCACACTTCTTCTTCTTCTCTCAGTGGGTCCTAGGGGTACAAGTACCATACTTGGTACTGGGAAAAATATTGATTAACTCAATATTTTTCCCAACTTCGTAAGTGGGATTTTTCCCTGGGACAAATCTCGTGAAACGGCCCGTGGAGACAAGGCCTAGTATACTCTGCCGTGCTGAGGAACAGTGGCGTGGCGTGCTTTGCGATATATCGATTGATCTGCCATTTAAACCTATGAAAAAGGGTCGATAAACAGGGTGTTCGCAGCCAACACCTTAATAATCGATTCTTTACCATAGGTTTAAATGGCAGAACAATCGATACATCGCAATTCACGCCACGCCACTGCTGAGGAAGAACGTCGTCGTATGCTGCAGAGCTAAGGAAGAACACCGTATGAGCCTTCAGACGTTGCCAAGCTCCCTTCGATAAAAATCGAATTCACTGGAAATATTGTAAATATTTTTTTCCATAATTCTCAGACAGTTTTGTGCGGAATTTAATCTAAAATATCGGAAAATTTCAAAGAATAATGCGCATTGTGCATGAATGTCGTCAAAAATACATGTTTCTATCTACGGAAATTTTGCATCTCTCATGCTCATACGGCGTTCTTCCTTAGCACGGCAGTACAAACCTTCAGATGTTGCGAAATTTCTTTCGACAAATCACGTATTTTCGGGCAAATTTGTAAATATTTTCTTTCTGATTTTTAAGGTAACTTCATGAGGAATTAAATCTAAAAAGTTGGAGTTTCGCAAGGAAAAATGTTCAGCACGTTCTTCACTAAGTAATTTTATGATAGGAAATTTGGTAAAATTTGAATTATCATGCGACGGCTTTCCTTAACATGACAGCTTTGGCGCCGGAGAAGTATCTATTTTTTAATAAATGTGGCCAAATTTTCCCCACGAAAGTACTTATTTCTGAGAAATATTATGAGTGTTTTTTTTAAAACTTTCTAGATACACTAGGTTCAAATGCGAGTGAAATAATCCAAAAATTCTAATCAAAATATTCGAAAGTTTTTTGGAAAATGTACTTAATCAGAAAAAATTGAGAGGCATCTGAACGCATATTCGACGTTTTTCCAGAGTATAATTACCATGTTAAATTACAAAATACGGATAAGAGGTATTGCGATTTTTAAACGTTTGTATGTTAATCGCGCCTAGCTTTCATTTCTATCAAAATCATCGAATTTCTGTGACCTTTCGAATGACAATACCTACATGCAACTATTCGTGCTCGAAGGATGTCCTAATTGCATATACACAGAATTGAAGGAGCTTTTCAATTTGGCTTTACTAGTAGTGACGCGTTGTATGCAACTAATAGTTCTTAAAGTATGTTTACGTTGGATGCACACAAAACTTAGGCAATTTGCCTATCTTAATTAATAGTCCGATTTCATCTTCAACTACTCAGGGGATGTCTATGTTGCATACATAATTGCACTGTCCACCTTAAACGTCGGAATGTTGAGTAAACCGTGCAGCTTCGCTAAACTTATATACTGGGTACATTCAATGTTACAGTGTTACAATGTCACAATGTTACTAATGTTACAATGTTAATATCACGGGTACTTACTTGTTCGTAATAATGTAAGAAATTGAACCTAATTTAAAAGACATCAGAGTTTGGTGAAAATTCATACTTTTACATGAAATTGTTCGCGAAATATACTTACATAATTGGAAAATGATCATGTGAAGTCCATGCAGGACCACCACATTACCAAACTTATGTTCAGCGAATTCGTTATCATTTTAATTTGTTCTCCTTATAGGAAAAAAAAACAGAAATAGTTTATACTTCGAGTCCGTATCACACTAGATATTGATTTAAAAAAAACGAGTGCTCTTCATTTTGTTACTCAATTTTTGATTCCCAAGAATCTACTAGGGGATTATCAATATATTTTATCACAACTACTTCTGAGATCATGAAAATTTCCTGATTGATTGTTGCAGAGCGAAAATCAAATGGGCCAAGAATCACATAGTAATCAAAAACTTTACCACAAAATACCGGATCTCTAAGAAAGGCGCGCTTAGGATTAACTCTGTCGTTAATTCTGATGGTGGAATCTACACTTGCATTGGTGAGTTTTCATACATGTTCAACGCGCTTAAATTTCTTCGCTATGCAAATACATTTTTCTTGAAGGATTATGCATTTTAACAAAAAACCCTCATTTCCAAAAACACTTATTTACATCATTTTTGAACATTCACTGTGAAGTGAATACATGAAAAAGTAGTGGCAGGCTGTTGGGCGTCACCAGCGTAAAATTGCAAGATATTTGTACATGTATCTATTTCTCGAGGATGATGTGACGAAAATATCCACTGTTACAGAGGAGAGGAATCGGCAAATATTGGTATGAAAGGTTGGAGATTTTGATGGTACAGTGAGAAACATCAGGTTCGAATTTAAAAATAGCTTTAACCCCAGTTCTAAGTTTTCTTGACTGCTTGCTTGATCTTTTTAACTTTCTCGAAATTTTGACAAATGTTCTCTGATTCCAGCTGGGCTATCCTCAGCGGACACAACTCTCACGGTAAAACCTAAACCAGGCCAATTTCCAAGTTCTGAAGAACTAGATGGAAAAGTGCCTCTGGATGCAGGTAATTAAGGTCGTTTATTTTCTTTAAAGATAATTATACTCGTAGCTTATACCTCTGTTATTAGTTTGTAAAATGTATTATTTAGCTTTTTCTTTACTAGCCACATTGAGTTGCCGTGCTTACAAAGTACTAAGGAGTAATGTAAAAAAGATGATAACATAATAATATTCCAGTCATGCACCAATGTTTAATCATTTGCCCAATTGTAAATGGACACGGTAAAAGTTACTGACCGGGAACTGAATCCTATGGGATTAGCTTTGCTTCATGACGACTGATTAAAATGGTAGATATAATAGCCTGTACTGCAAATTAGTCGAATTTTTCGGAGGTACTTTCAACGCAATTCTTTGACTAAACAATTTAGTTCATTAACATTTGAACATCAATCTACATATACTCCAGTATCATCGTAAATGTTGACGATAATTCCAATAAAATTCATGTTTTAGTCTAAAATCGAAATGGTTTGAAGACACGGAATTATCCGCACTCTAGAGTCAATTTGATTTGTATTCCAGAATGTCACTTTCACTCTGATCAGTTAACGTGCACTTACAATATGGGCTGCGTTTTGAAATAAGGAACTACAATTCGACGGTGAAACTACCAAACCACGTATCTCGGTTTGCGACGTCGCAGACTTCCTGTCATACTTTATTTTTTAAATGAAAAACTACTTAACATCCAGTCTTGAAAATTTCTGTGATTTTTCCTCTTTGTGCGGAGAAAATTCCGTGAAACTTTCAAGGAATGATATTGATTTGGTCTACTTCAAAAAAATAAAATGTGAGCGTAGATTTTTAAACACCGCAAACGAGATACGCGGTTTGGTAGTTTCACCGTCGAATTTCTTGCTCATCCCTAGGAACACTTATCTGCATAGGGAATGGCACACATACGTTTTTGTACTGACCCAGAAATTGTAGTTTCGAATTGCAAAATGTAGTCCAATTGGATCTCATTTTGCAATACGGTACTACTTTTCCCAGCTCACTATAAAAACGACGTATTTACCATTAGTTTCCCGTTGGAGATAAGGGATTTTACGGGTAAGCCGGAAATTGTAGTTCCTAATCGCAAAATACAATCAAATTAATGAAAAGGCGATGTCTTTTTGCACTAAATCTCCCACGTACGCTTATTTTCTCCTGCAGGAATGAAAACAGGCGAAGAAATGGGGAAGAGTTCGGGTTTCGTGGATAATCCGAGCGATTCGGACTGGAGCCACGAGAACCCGACATCGGGTCAAACGACGGGCCACACGACTCACAGGAAGAAATCAAAACATGACCACACCTCTGCAACCGGAAACCCCTTCTCAAAATTGGTTAGTACATAGCATCCTGAATTAGGACAGTACTGTTTATCACGGAGAGCGATTCGCTTATTTTCACCGGTGTTGGACAACGCTGCCACGCTAAGGAAGAGCGCCGTATGAGCCTTCGGACGTTGACAAGATTCCTTCGATAAAAACCAAAATTACTGGGAAAATCCTGAATATTAGTCCTCCAATTTTTCAGAGAATTTTGTTCACAATTTAATCTAAAATATCTGAAAATTTCAAACAAAAATATGCAAAACTCTCTTCAAAAATTCACGTTTTATTCGGGGAAATGTTGCAACTCTCGAAGGTTCATACGGCGTTTTTCCTCAGCACGGCAGAACGGCAAGAGGGAATAAGCGCTGCGCGTAATTTCGATGACTGATAACATTTTCGCTTTTTTTCCTACCCCCGCGTTCAAGTCTCCGCGCGGCGAGGCGTGAATTGCGATGTATCGATTGATCTGCCATTTAAACCTATGGAGAAGAATTGATAAACAGGGTGTTTGTAACAAACATCTTAATAATCGATTCTTTACTATACCTTTAAATGGGGAAATATCGATAATCGATTGTTCACGCCAGTGACCGCCGGTCACTGGTCGGTGCGGAAAGCATATTAGCGCCTACAAGACTCTTGGAATACTTCACGCATTGCGCCAAACGCAGTGCGATCGCTGGTCGGCTTGAGTCGCATTTCGGCAATTCTACGTTTCTTGTCCTATTTGACCTGCAAAAAACTAAAGTTGGCCATGCTACATCATGTTAGATATTGTGCCCAGAGACTCGTCAATTTCAGCTAAAGTTGACTATTCGTTTGCCCGAAAAATCGAATTTTGGATTTACCATGTTTAGGCCTAATGTACTCACGGAAAATGTCAAAATTCGGAAAAATGTTACTCTTGCTTTTTTTTGGTAAAGTTATGGAGCACCTATTCTCGCTTGCCCGTTTCGATCCGAAAACTTTTCTAAAAAACGATCCACGCTAACGCCACGCCACCGAATGACTCTCATAACTATGCGACACAGATCGTCGCGCCGCACCATATCGCGCCGCGTCGGAATGAAATGCGTTTTTCGCCCGTCAAGCTGTTCTCTTTTTCTGAATTTCGTCCCTCAATTTGTCTCATAACTTTTTCCTTGGCCTTGATTATGAGATAAGAAGGTAATGATAAAATATATAAAAACACAAAACCGGAACTTTAACCATTTATTCATTTATTTTATTCGGTGACGTAGCAAAGTTTGAAGTTGGGAAACTAATAAACGGTTGAGTTATCTGATCTGAACGAATTGGCCCTCCTTTGACTTGTTTTTCTTGACCAAAATATTCCGTTATGTTGAATAAAATTTCATTCCCGGTCATGGAATGTTTTTACAATGCCAGTGAGAAGTTCATTACGACTAATTAGACAATAGATGGATCTTATTTATTATTTTGAACCGAAGATTCCCATCCTGCTCAATGAACATTTTTTCTCGTATTTTTACACGTGAATTTTAAAAATGTGGCGATTTATACCGTGAGAAAAAATTATCGGAATGAGTAACCGGGACTAAGAGATCTGCATTATGTAACCTATGGTTCGTAAATCGGGGTTTTATGTATTAGTAGCTTTACCCTCTGAAGATTTCTTCATATACCTTGTGAGATCCTATTTACTTATTACGCGCGTGAAAGACTGTGTATAAGATTAAATTAAAGCATTATTGTTTTAAACATACATGTATTTTAAAGAAACCGGATTCTTCTTTCACTTATTTTATGGGGAGCCAGACACCCTATCTTCCCAATGTTAACGTTTGTACCTTTTTCTCAGGATCTACTGAACAAAAATTACTTCTCTTTTTTTTGTTTTGAACTTTGAACCCCGCTGAACATTTTACCACGGGTTTTTTTTTTAAATTTAAAAATTTGAAATTTTTGTGAATTTTTGAAATTTGTTTGTTAGAAATCAAAGAATTTGGACCTTTGAAATCAAATTAAAATAAATCCAGCACGAAATTTTGGGAAAGCTCGTGTTAAAATGTGCAAGAGAGTGCAAGGATTAGAACAAAACAAATTTTTTGAAAATCGGTTCAGTAGATCCTGAGAAAAAGGTACATGAGTGCTGAAAAATGTAGTTTTCGGGAAATGAGGAATTAAAAAAAAACAGCAAAATCAGTTTTAGTGTAATTAGTAGTGTATTTAGTAAACCTTCCCTCACTAAACCGCGCGTAACTTCAAAACTACTCATCAGATCAAGTAAAACTTGGTCTGAAATTAAACGTGAGGAGTAAGAGATTAAGATTAGCCAGAAAATAAAAAAAAACAATTTTTTCAATTTTCAAGTGTCTGGCTCCCCTTAAAAGTGATAAAAATACATTCCTAATGCATTGACATTTTTCCCGTTGATTCATGCTGCTTCCATCAGGACCCTGGATCTGATATGAACGGTTTTTTAAACTCATCAGACCCTCCTAATTCTTCTATGAGTTCAGGAGGGTCGCGACCGGTACCTTTCCTCAACTTCTTATTCATTACTTTCCAGGTTAGTAAATTTAATTGCTCAGATTCTCTATGTTGTCACTTTATCCGTCACCTTGGAACACCAACACAAGAATACTATCTGATCGAATTGTCTTGCGGTCATTTGAACTCAATCATCAAATTGTATTTTTATATTGACGCTTGGACCCAGAACTATGTCATCGTAATCAAAAATTATCATCGCGCCTTTGCAAAAAAAATGTAAGCAGCCTAAGGAATATGTACTTTTTAAGGATACAAGGGAGTGGCTAATCGAATGGATTCACAGTAAGTTTTGAAAAAAGGGGCATGAAGAAAAAAAGTAAATATTGTATTTTCAAAAAAATTTGAGAGCTCCCAGAGATTTTTTTTTTTTTTTTTTTTTTTTTTGAGAGAGAAAGGGGGATACTACCGCTCCCTGCTTACTCCTTAGTACCGCCCATACGCAAAAGAAGAAAATTAATTAAATCATACATTTCACGGAAAACCGATAAATTTTCGCTCCTTTCCTTCACCTAGATAAAATTTATTTTCTGTGAGGCCCTAAAAAGGTCCAGCGCGATTTTCTCTGAATAACAGTGTGAAAAAAACTTCCGACCTATACTTTATTTAACAGAATTACATCTTTTAGAGTGTAATTGAATGGATTTCTTGCATTTCAAATTGTGCAGACTTTCTGGCCGTTTCAAAGCTTGACGAGTGGAAGCCAAATGGTAATGGAAGACCCCTCCGATTTCATCGACTTGGGGCCTGATGAAAAACTACCCTCTGAGCTGAGCAGTCAGTCTCCCGCAGATGATCTTTCGAGCCATGCGTTGATTTTAGGAAAAGGTATGATTTCAAATACATCAGCTTATTTTTGCCAACTGCTTGCAAGTTGTTTTTCTTTTGTTCTTATTAATTCACATGTTATTTTAAAAATTAAAACAAAGTCCTATCTAAGATCGTCTCTTATCTTACTAGAACAGAAAAGATCAGAGACGGATGCTTTTTCAAATTTTCTCAATTTAGAATTTAACTTGCCAAACTTTAAGGGATTTGGTATCTTTTAATTCAAAATGGCGTCCTCGAAAATCAACTGCAGACCAGAATCTAGCTAAGTAAGTTCCGTAAAACTGAGAGAGTCGCCGTTAACATAATCGCAACTTACTCAAAAGCGGTTATGAATTCAGAAAATTTTGCACGGATAAAATGAGTTTTCGTCGATAAACTGTGAATAATCAAAATCGAAGAAAAGTTACTTTATCCAATGGGCCATTAGAAAGGCGTAGAGCGTGGACGAGTGGAGCATGCGGATGTCCTCCAGGCTCTACGGCACTATATATCGAATATAGATGGATGCAGGTTTTTAACAGTGTACTCGGATGTGCCAAAGTATTCGGGGAAAATAGAAAAAAAAGTATTAGCTATATATTTTTTTGAGAGTCCAAACAGAGACGATACATTTTAGAGATTCTGCACTATCTTTTTACCTACACAGAAAAAAAATGGTGCTGACGACAAAACCTTCTGTTCACAGGGCTCCTGCAGTTTCTTCGAATTTTTCTGTTGTGAGAACAGAAAAATTCTGTAAGTGTAACAAAGAAACTGCAGGAGCCCTGTGAACAGAAGGTTTTGTCGTCAGCACCATCTATTTTTTTCCGTGCATGCGGTGTAAAAGTTACTCAAGGAAGCCAATTCCCTAATTCACTTGGGTATTGATGACTCAATGGGTCATCCCCGAAAAGTTTAGTATTACCCCAATTTTTAGATGATTCGGACATTGCCAATTAATTATGATAGTACCGCAACTAAAGTTGGGGTAGCACCGCAACAGTTGAGTTTATTTATACATACTTTTGCTGGGTACTACTTCCAATCTCGTAAACAAACAAATATCATCGTATGTTCGCAGGCGATCGCAAAGATGTCAAATTTGAATGGAACATCTCTGATTGGTCGACGTGTTCACAGTCTTGTGGAGGCAACGGCTTTCAGGTGAGTGTCATATTTTCTTTAGCAGAGGTACTAAAAATCGTCGGAGTTCTAATTCAGTTAACAGTAAATTTAGACAGCGCCAGACTAAACAGCAGCCCGTATCCAATTTTTCGGACTTCATGACCATCATGTCACCTCATTGCAAGTATAGCAACTCTTTTTTGTGCCAAATTGGCACAAAAACTAACTGGACCGCTAGTGACTATTCTTTGTGATACAAAAAACCGCGTCAACAACTTGTTCAGTTTCTGAATCAAAGTTGACAAAAACCGTCCTCCTCCAAAATAAACCATGTTAAGCAAAAATGAACCTGGCCACATTAAGTCTTGCTGGATTTTATAGGAAAACAAAAATTTGCAGGAGAATGGTTGCTCAGATTCTTTCGAACATTTCAGGTAATTTAAATCACGTCACGGAGGGAATTCTCGGAAATTTTCCAAACGAATCCACATTACTGTTCTCTTGTAAAAAAAAAGAGAAATAAATAAATTTTGCAATGCCTGATGCGACCTGGCTTCTTCCTGCTTGACGCGGTTCAAATTTTCCTCCGTGCAATAAGGTCATTTTTCTTGCGGGCGGTTCCGATTGAATCGGCACGTGCGAAAACGTCCGTTGTCTTACGCAGGATTTCATATGATTGCAGCGGTGTCTTTTGCCTCACGACACTGACGGATAAGATCGATGTCTTTAGTAAACGTTTAATTATATACTTGAGCGATGTTTTAACAAAATTGTCCTACATCAAACGTCTTAAACCATCTTGTGTCTCTAAGTTACAACGACATCGTCCTCTCGAATTCTGAAACACTGTATCGGACATCGGACGTTTTCGAACGTTCCAATTTATATAAGATTCGCGCCTCTCACTTCCAGTTGCGAAATTGTATAGCAGCATTCACTGGAAAAAAAAAAAAAAAAAATATTGAATTTGACACGGAACCACCTTTATTTTTCAAAACACACACTATATTCTCCTTTAACACATATTTTTTTAAATCAATTTAAATAAGAATAATCCATGCAGCATATGCAAACATTTGAAAATTATTAGTTGTGAACCGCTGACTCCGTGAGTTTAAATATTAGAACCAAAGACAGAGCGGAACGGAGCTTGCATGCCGGCGCAAAACGCGCACTGGTGCCTACAAACCTAACAGGGATACTTCACGCATTGCGCAAAACGCGCACTGACGCCTACAAACCTAACAGGGATACTTCACGCATTGCGCAATGCGTGAAGTATCCACTTAGGTTTGTAGGCGCCAGTGCGCGTTTTGCGCTGCGCTGGTCGGCCACCCGCCGCGCCGCAGCGTGCCATGGCGCACACTGGAAAAAAACACATTGGATCTAGATTCCAGACTCTTGAAAACATTGACAAGAAAAAATATTCTTGATTCAATCGGATTTTTGCTTGAATCAAAAGGAAATCCGCTTAAATTAAGAGGCTTGGTTCTTGATTTAAGCTAGATTCTGATTGAATCAAGAGTAATTTTTCTTGTCGATGATTTTAAGAGTCTGGACTCTAGATCCAATGTGTTTTTTTCCAGTGTTCAATCACTCTCCTTTCCCCCTTTTTTTCTCTTATTTTATTTAAAACAATTATTAATGTGTTTGAACTTGCAGATGCGGGGAGTACATTGTCTGGTGAGAGTAGGGAACACAAGTGAGAATGTCGGGAGCAACTTTTGCGAGGATGCTGGATTGGAAACACCGGAGACGATACAGAAATGCGGGACTGAAGACTGCCCTCGATGGCATCATGGAGAGTGGCAATCATGCGACAAAGCCCGATGTTTTACTTGGAACACTGGTAAATTCTTATACCTATTTTATAACATTCACTGGAAAAAAATACATTCGATCTAGAGTCCAAACTCTTGAAAACATTGACAAGAAAAATACTCTTGATTCAATCATATTTTTGCTTAAATCAAAAGTAAATCCGCTCAAATTAAGAGGTTTGGTTCTTGATTTAAGTAAAAATCCGATTGAATCAAGAGTATTTTTTCTTGTCGATGTTTTTAAGGGTCTGGACACTATATCCAATGTGTTTTTTTTCCCAGTGTTGTCTCTCAAAAGAACACGTAAAGTACGGTAAAAATAGAGAAAATATAAACTCTTAAGTGAGTGAGAAATTGGGGGTTTTCGTGTTCTCTGCTGCAAGCTTCCTACTCGCACACTCACCCAAAAAAAAAAAAAAAAAAAAAAAAAAAAAAAAAAAAAAAAAAAAAAAAAAAANAAAAAAAAAAAAAAAAAGTGTCTCTTTGAGTCGCCTCTGTCATCAAAGTAACTTACAGGCTGAGCATTTGAATTTTTCCCCAATGGCTCTTGTGTACGTTAATTTTGGATTTTCACCCCTCAAGTGAGCGATAAAAATTGTACGACCTCTTTTCTGGGTTTATTTTTTTACATATTCATCGGATTTTGCGTGAAAAGTTTAATGATGAAAGAGTATAAATTGTGATGGTCGTATGGTTGCCTTGCCTAGTGGTCTATTGCGAGTACCTAAATAAAACCTTATCTACTTTGAGTTACAATGTTAGCCTTGATTGTGGCGTCTGCCTCAAACTTTAGGAGCCTCATGGTTTTTGACACCCACAGATAACGTTACAATGTGCTTTTGAACTATGGTGGTGATGAAAGGGAAAGAGAAGGAGGCTAAGGATATTTTACACGGATTGGCATAAAATTTTGAATAAAAAAAAGATTAGTTCCCAAACTCAAAGAATCGAATCATTTCGAGTTTATTCTCCGGTTATTTATACTGAGCACAAAAAGGTAGGCGTCTTCAATTGCTCTAGGAAAAGTTGTCTAAGTGAGCGTCAATCTTCACAGTGGCTCCTAAGACAGCATTTTTCATATTTTAAGAGTTTAATACTTTTCAGCTATGCAAAGGCGAGAGGTGAAGTGTCTAGCCGGGAACGGTAGCGAAATAGCACTGACTTACTGTGACGAAGCCAGCAAGCCCATTTTAAGGAGAGAATGCTACAATGACGTGTGTAAAGGTGTCTGGAGAGTAGGCGAGTGGTCCGCGGTAAGTAAACCCAAAAAAACTAAGTCAACAGAGCACATTGTATGTCCCATTTTCATGGAGAACAAATTCCTAGAGCATCTAAGAGATCATTAGAATAAACCATTTTGTGCACAAGAACCAGAATTTTTATTAAAACAGTCAGAATCGTCGTATTAGAACGAAGCAAATCTCCTCCGATCATCAGAACCGCAAATTATTCTTCTTTCGCATTGAGTTTTTCTTCTCGATCTATCTAAATTTGCGTCTCTCCAAAACGCCTTCAAAAGGGAGGATATGCAATATCAGTCAGGCACAAACACCTATAGTTGCCTATATCAACTATTGAAGTTCTCAGCAATACTTGCTTTCGTTGCAAAATGGTAGATAATTAATTAAAACCTGAAGGATGATCCAAAATGTAGAATATCTGGAACAATGTATTTTAGAAAAAACTTTAATCCCTGAACTTAGAAGTGTGACTATCTACAGGCAAAAGGAACTACGTCCACGAGTATTCATGATTGAGTTATGGACACCAAATCCAGTAGGTTTAAATGGCAGATCAATCGATTTATCGCAATTCACGCCACGCCACTGGTTCTGATCACGCTCGATATTGTGTTTCAGTGTTCCGCAGCCTGCGACACTGCTGGAGTCAAGTACAGAATACTGCAATGCGTCTGGTACGGAACGAAAAAGCCCGCGGGCAATGCATGCAGGGGACTGCCACGGCCATCTGTTACCAAATCTTGCCAAGGGCCACCTTGTTCCCATTGTAAGTAATTATTACCACCTTAATAATGGGCTTTTAAGGTATAGTATATGGATAGTATAAGTATATTATATCCGTGTCAACCAACTCTGTTCATTAGACTTATGCATTATTCTTGATGGAAAAAGTACATAGTTCTTTTTTTTTTTTTTTTTTTTTTTTTTTTTTTTTTTTTTTTTTTTTTTTTTNTTTTTTTTTTTTTTTTTTTTACAAATTTTATCAGTGAAACCTACAAAATATACAACAACGATTTGAGTCCGCTACCGCACGTATATCGTTTGCTGTGTTTAAAAATTTCCACCTCACTTTATTTTTTTCAAAAAGAACAAATCGACATCTCTCCCTGAAGCGCAGCATATTCTTCACACGGGGAAGAAAAATCACAGCAATTTTCAGGAATTGCCGTTGAGTAGTTTTCCATTTAATAAACAGAGTGAAACGGAACCCTGCAACATTGTAAACCGAGAAACGAGGTTGCGGACTTACACCGTCGATATGTTCATTGTTTAGGCTGCATTAAAGCAATTAAGAGCTACTTTATGTGCCTCATCCGGAAATGCACCTATCTCCATAGAGTAGTCAACAGCACACATGTTGTTCTCAGCCGAAAATATTGCTTTCTTCCTGCGTAATTTCGTCCATTTATTCCTTTCGTTAACAATTATATCTTCTTACTTTTTTTTCAGAACCTCGTCGTTCATTTTGTTTAATGAACATTATTCTTTCTATAATAGACTTCTAATTTGCAGGAAAATGATGGCGCTATTTTTTATCCAATTTGAAACTAAAATTTCATCAAAATTTCTTCACCAAGTGTGACTTCGGTTGGATTTCATTTACGTGATAATGTACTGTTTTTTGATGATTTGCGGATAAAACATTCATTTTGTCATAGAGCCATTTTCCTACTTTTATTTAGAATATTTTATTACACGAAGAATCAGGTACCAGGACAGCAGTCTCCGAATCACATTATGAATTTAACGTAATCCTTGAAAGAACACAGATTTTTTGGTGGCGGGATGACACCTTTTGATTTATTATTTTCGTGTAAAGAATTTGAATTTTCCTTTTCAGTTGAGAACTGCCGGGACGAGAGCAAGTATTGTCTGAACGTGCGAACGCTGAACATGTGCCGGATGTACCCCTACCAAATTCAGTGTTGTCAATCTTGCAGACAAATCACGATGGCCGACCGTTTTTAAGACTTATTATTTGTTAATGCCAAATGGTGTAAATATCTGAATTAAGCTGTAAAGTAGCAATATTAATTTAAGGTCATCAATTGGAAACCATTATTGAGAAAGTTATTACTTTTTTATTAGTTCGATGTTATCGCTGATCGTATACCGCTTTACAGGACTGCAGGAATTCACACAAGATTATACCGAATATTCTAAGATTCTAAGAATTTTTTCGCAATGGATAATCATGACTTATTTGAAGTCAAAATTTACGGATTGTTATGTTTAAGAACTGAGTCTACTACTACTTTTAGGACCATGTTTCTCTCCGAAAGGACGAATAAGTCTCAAGGTGATGAAGGCGCAAACGCATTTACTTTAGTAAAAAACATTTAAACTTGTATATTTTTCCACGCTGCAGTCTCTGTCAAAATATTTTATAAGGGGAAATTCTATGGAAAGCATCCGTGTACCATTAAAAACAACCAATACTTCAAGATATCATTTAATAATAATGAGGAGGTTTCCCCATTAAGTGATGTGAACATTACCATAAAAAGGGAAGAATCAATGGCTCATAATAATACCGAGTAATTTTCTGGCTGATTTTGAACGTTTCTAAAGCGCACAGTGCGTATCCAGTCCATTTGACGATTATAATTGAATTCAGCCTCCGGAGAGGCGGACGTCAGAGACGTGTCGTGTTTTGCGATTAATCGATTGATCTGCCGACTAAACCAAAGGAAAAGATTGATTACGAGGGTGTTTGCAACAAAAATCTTAATATTCGATTCTTAAACATAGCCTCAAATGCGAAAATATCTAAACTCCTCGTCAAACCAACCGCAGATAATAATGCATGGATGCTCTCACATATACCCAAGATCTCGTAAATACTTACTCTCGTAAAGCGAAAATTAAATATTCAAATACTAAAATTGCAATACATATAATATCTGTTCGCTGCAATTTTCATGATATAAGCGATACTATTCTATGGTTGATCAATTTGTTGTTATTAAATTCATTGATAAGTAAGAAATAAAGTACAATTGTTTCAATTCTGCGTTTTTTATATCACACCCATCAAATGACCTTACCGCCTTTACGCTTTTGAAGTACAGTTACGGTTTGAACGGTGAAACTCTCAAAACACGTGTATCGTTTCGTGTGTTTAATAATCTTTGCTTCCATTTTATTTTCTTGACGGAGAACATATCAACCTGTTTCTTGAAGCTTTCTCAGAATTTCTTTGCACAAAGAGGGAAAATCACGAACGTTTAAAAAATTGATGTTGAGCGGTTTTCCATTTAAAAAATGAAATATGGTAGGAAGTCTGCAACCTCGCATTCCGATACACGTGGTTTGGTAGTTTTACCCCCAATCCCTGGTAAAAATTGGCGATAAGAGCTCCGTTTCAAAATACCATAGGAATTCTTATAGCCGGCTAAAGAAGGCTACAGAAAATCATATAGCTGGCTGTAGAATGCGTAGGAAATCATACGGCCGGGCTATACGAAGCGATAAAAAATTATGCAGCCGGGCTATAGTTCCTATCGCCGGGCTTTACACTTTATCGCCTGGCTGTTGCTTTTTTGCCATCGATTATAAAAGGCTATAAGAAATTGTGTAGAAATTTGTGTGCTTTGGAAATCATTAAGTTTGATACGGAACCACCTTAATATTTACAAAACACACGTTATATTTTCCTATAATACATATTTTTTTTCATCAATTAAAACGAGAATAATCCATACAGGATGTGCAAACATTTCAAAATCATGAATTGAACAACGCTGACTCCGCCCGATTAAATATTAGAGCCTAACACAAAGCGGAGCGGCGACGCACTGGCGCCTACAAACCTAACACGGATACTTCACGCATTGCGCAATGCGTGAAGTATCCCTGTTAGGTTTGTAGGCGCCAATGCGCGTTTGGCGCTGGCTGCCCGCCTGCCGCACCGCAGCGTGCCACGGCGCTTGAAGCAACTATTTCACACCAGAGGTATTGCACAGTATCATACGAAATTGAAGGCGCTCCAACATATTAGGAATGGCAGACATCCTTCAAAAATACGGAGCTTTCCTCGCAAAATAAATCAAGATACTACGGCCCAAAAAGAGAGCGGTAGTCCAAAAACTCACTAAGTCCTAGCATCCGTAATTAGTGACGTTTAGCATACACTGTGTTCAGACGTTGTGTTCATGACGAATTCCTTGATTTTCTTGCAGAAAAAATAGAGCCCGCCAAATGATTTCGCAATCGTTGATGTAGTAGAGGTCAGGCTGATTTTTTTGGATGTCGTCCAGAAAATTCTTTGAGAGTACTTCAGTTAAAATAAACAAGAATACTGATTAGCTGTATGAGGTTGATTTATTAAACTGTTCATATTTAGGATAATACAAAAATAAATTTACAAATGATTTTTGCTCATGACTTTACCAAGATCATACGACCCTAGGCAAGTGTGAACCGGGTTTGAGATGAGTTCGACGGGGCGTATTTTTCGGAGGGATTGGAATGAGTTTTAGGATCTGGTTGTGCAATGTCCAGGAGTTCCGCCTGGCTGATCATGTTGCAAGCAAAACGTGGTGCAGCAATTGCCCATGGATCCGTCCGCCTGGCATGGAGCTCCGTCAGGAAGACAATTGCCTTGAGCCATCGAGCCGGCGATCATCCAGAGAGTAGCAACGGCGAAAATGAACCAAGCCAAGTACTTATGCATGATGTGGTTGGTTTTGGGGTTTTCACCTGCAACAAAAGTACAAGTGCGCATATTTGAAAAAAAGGAGGAAGAAAATCAACGTTGAAACTACTAATTATTAATTAAAAATACTGAATAATTAATTAAAAATATCCACGCTCCTAGTTCTTTTTTTTTTTTTTTTTTTTTTTTTTTTTTTTTAAGAGGAAGAACGAGCCAATATTATTCTCACACGGATTCATACCGATTATTCACATTATTTTGTTGTCCAATATCACTGATAGTATGAATAAAAATCATTTTCTTATTTCCTGATTTGTATTTTCTTTTTTTTCCTTTTATGACTAAAAATATTTTATTTAAATGAATACTGAATTAATACATTGTATATCTATCCTAGTTTTCAAAAAGTCTTCTTCTGACACGGGAGAAAAATCAGGGAAGTTTTCAAGGACTGAAGTTGAGTAATTTTCCGTATTAAAAATTAAGTAAGGCAGAAAGTCTGAAACGTCGCAAACCGAGATACGAGGTCTGCTAGTTTCACTGTCGAAATACTTCAAAGCTAAGCAGCACAGTCCAACAAAATATTGAGATAATGTTACAGTATGCAAACAAAAATTCAATGTCTCACCGAGAAATGATAGGAATATTTGTGGACCATTTGGTCAATAAACGCCAGGTTGTGAGTTAAATGTGTTTACGGTGGGGAGGGGGGTTAAAATTTCAAATTTTATCGAGGAAACTATCTCGGATTGTCCTCTAGAGGGAACATTCGGTATTAAAATCCCATTCCCAGAGGAGGTACACTTTGGGGGGCCCACACCACGAACTGCACATCTGGGCCCGAAAATCTTAAATTCAGCCCTGATTCTATTTTAAATTCAGCCCTGATTCTATTTTTATCGATTGAAGTGATTCGATCGTAATGCAACAATTGACCTACAGGCAGAGTCTTTATCAATGGCCAAAGTGCGTAACGACGCATCTAAATCGCGGTGTTTCAAAATTTCCGCTTCTACCTTATTTTTTCGAAAAAAGACAAGTCATTTTCATAGCCTGAAAGTTTTACAGAATATTCTCCTAGCCGAGAAGAAAAATTGAGGAAGTTTTCAAGAAATTACGATGACTAGAATTCCACAGAGAACAAGTATATCGTGGGAAGTTTGAAACGTCACAAACGGAGATACGTGATGTCCAGTAGCGTGCCGTGCTTTGCGATATATCGATTGATCTCCCATTTAAAACTATCGAAAAATATCTATTAATAGTGTGTTCACAATGGACACCTTACTAATCGATTCTTCGCCATAGCTTCAAATAGGGAGATATCGATGTATCGCAAAGCACGCCACGCTACTGGTGATGTCACACTTTAGCTACCGATATACACCTTTAGACAGGGTCGAAACTGGAGAATCACAAGACATGTCGCTTTTGCGAAAGTTCATGCAAAACACGCCGGGCGTATGGAAAAATTGGAAAATTAACTCGTTAAGTGAATCAAACATAGGATTTTTACAAAACGAATTTTTCAATTGGCCATTTAGTATCAAACAAGAGGTTAATCTCAAAGTTTATGTGATAAGGTGCTAGAAATCAAAAATGCTATTTAACGCTATACGGAGCTAATGGAGGGGCTCTATTCTCATTTGATACAGACCGATTTAATTGAAGTTAGCGATGTACTTAAACATGAAATGAAATTCTTAGTTACTTACAGTAGAATTGTCTATTGGTGAACTTGAGAAGAACGATAAGCTTTGGTCGTCTGCAGTGAGCACCGGTAGTATATATACTATTGCATTTAGATCGAATTAAAAAGGGAACGGAGAAAAAATGCCAAGATCTGGGATTTCCTGCAAAGTATCAAACTGTAGCGGGATACAATCGATAAAAAATCCGCAAAGGATACAGAATACAGGGAAAACCGGGGCACAAAACCAGCGATGGTGTGCAGTTGTTCGGAAGATGCACAAATTCTGCATTTCCTTGCTGCAATAATGTCCGCATAATCTATTCTGCCGTGTTAAGGAAAAACGCCGTATGAGCCTTCAGATGTTGCCATATTTCCTCGGTGAAGGTCAAATTTATCAGGAAAATTATGAGTATTTTTTTTTTCAAAATTTGCAGGCAATTTTGTTTGCGATTTAATCAGCTAAAATATCTGGAAACCTCAGGGAAAGCTATGCAAAACTTCCCTTGCAAATACCCGTTTTATTCGATAAAATATGGCAACTCTCGAATGCTCATAGGGCGTTTTTCTTTAGCGCGGTAGTAACGGTGGTCGGACGGATATCACTTATTTTTCACCACGATATGGCAACGCGGGGGGAATCGCGACGACCGCGGTCGTTAATTGAACTTTCGTAATGTGCAATTTTGTTATCATTTGTGATTTTGTTTCCCTACGTGCGGTTTTCCGTCTCCGATTAGTGTCAATAATAAAGAGGCGAACTATGATTAATATTAATTTCAAGAGTCGCGTGGATAAGATCGCGTTACAGATGCCGTCTTTTCCTCCTCTTCTTGGATGCACGTCAGTGGCGTAGCGTGCTTTGCGTTGCATCGATTGATCTGCCATTAAAACCAATGGGAGAGGATCAATAAACAGCATGTTCGCAACGAACGCCTTGACAATCGAGTCTTAATCACAGCTTTGAAGCTGTGATAAAGACTCGATTGATTATTTGAATAAGGAAATATCGATTATCGATCATTAACGTCTCGCCACAGATGCACCTCTGGACGCATTTGACGCATCTGGAGGTGAAGTTCGCACCAGACAGCTTGTGATTAGAGTATGTCGTGCAGTTATTCCGTACTTCGTTCCCCACGCGGCTCTATCATTATATTAAAATATAGCATAAGAGAAGGTACATACGAGTTGAAGTACTTTGTTACATGTTTCCTCCTCAAAATGGATCACTAGATAAGGTAAAACTTTAAGCATTCTGATATATGTTTCTTAAGCAGAATCTCACGTAAAACACGATTCTTGTATTGAAAATTTCTAAAAGAAACTCCTAACTAAGATATTAACATTTTTTCTACATTTGTTATGATGGGAAAGAATAGCCTGTCCCGAGAAACAAAATACTCTATATGGATCAAATCGCGACTCACAACAATTTTGGCAGGCCTCTCAATTTAGCATTGTTCCTTTCCCACCCTTTATACTGTTCCAAAAGTAAACAATTTGCTATAGCTGAGCCAAAGTGTCAAAATGAGGATGCCATATTCTCATGTCGCCAAGACTGCCACGGTAACGTTTGGTGTGCGATTTGACTCACGTAGACCATTGTGTATTCATTAGCGGGAGGTTTGAATCTACGCGTCAAAAAATATTAAATATCTTCGTTCGTTAAATAATTTCAGTAATTTTTATTGCGCAAATCGCGTTTTACAGGAAATTTTGGTTAAGAACCATGCATCAGAATGCTTAACTTTGTACCTTGTCTGGTGGTCTGTTGTACGTAAAAAATGTTTTAAAACGGGTGGTAAAAATCAATTCTTAGAGTAGATTCAAAGGATTTACAATGGGCCACCAGGTAATGTCTAAATTAGAGAAAAACGGCATCTACATTCTTAGCAAAATCTTAGGTAGAGAACTATTTTTGTACCCAACGGGAAGTTTAGGAATGAAATCCTGACCGAGGTATTAACAAGTATTTTAACACAGATTCAAATGAAAGTTTGATCATAAAAATGACGTCATTTGTGTTTTACCATTCAACCAATGTTGATGATGAACATTTACTTCTTGTTTAAGAGTAAATTTTGAAGAGAGAGTATGTTCTACAGTGCTTTAATTCATACCTAGTCTAGAAGCCCATTAATTGTCATTAGTGAACCGGGAAATACACAAATGACGTTATTAGTGTGCTCTGTGTACTTCAATAAGTAACAAGTGTTTATACAAATACATTTCGCTAAAGGGTTGATTTCCAAAAATCAACCGTTGCTTGAGTTATTGCTTTCTACGTAAAAGTTTGGTGTGAAAATATAGAATGTGATGTGGCGCATTTAAGGGGACAGTTTCAACTGTTCATAAGCTTTAATGCAACTGTAAGTACATGTGTGTGATCATTCACTGGATAAAAAAAACACATTGGATCTAGAGTCCAGACTCTTAAAAGCATCGACAAGAAAAAGTACTCTTGATTCAATCAGAATCTAGCTTAAATCAAGAACCAAGCCTCTCAATTTAAGCTACTTTCGTTTTGATTCAAGCAAAAATCCGATTGATACAAGAGTATTTTTTCTTGTCAATGTTTTCAAGAGTCTGGACTCTAGATCCAATGTGTTTTTTTTTTTCTAATGATGTACAAAAATTACGCTAAACGCTATTAGGTACGGATGCCAGGACTTGGAGAGTTTTTGAACTTTCGCTCTCATTTTGTGCCGTAGTATATTGATTTATTTTGCAAGGAATGCACCGTACTCTTAGAGGATGCCTGCCATTCTTAATAAGCTGAACCGCCTTCAAGTTCGTATGATACTGTACAACACCATTTGTTGTGAAATAGTTGCTTGAGGCGCCGCGCCGTGGCACGCTGCGACGCAGCAGGCGGGCGGACATGGGCGCCTACAAACCTAAGTGGATACTTTCAAGCATAGCGCAATGCGTGAAGTATCCATGTTAGGTTTGTAGGCGTCTGTGCGTGTTGCGCGCCGGCAGCACGCCGCTCCGCCCAGTGTTGGGCTCTAATACTTAAATTCGCGAAGTCAGCGATTTTCAGCTCATGACTTTGAAATGTTTGCACACTTTGCTTGGATTATTCTCATTTAAAGTAATTAAAACAAATATGTATTGAAGGAAAATATAATGTGCGTTTTTTAAATTTAAAGGTTGCTCCGTGTCAAATTTAATGATTTCCAAAGCGTTTTAATTTTTTATTTTATATTTTGTGCTTTTACTGTGATGTACATGTGTATCTTCTACACATCACACATCTACACATCAGTGTATTTTCTTCGGAAAATACACTAAAAATGCTCCGACCTCTCGTTCTGCTTTTAATTGAATCACGAAATACAAAAAGGGCACATGTCCAGAAAACCAGATTGTTCAGGAGACACAAAAAACTGTTTATTTCGTGGTAGATATTTTTTGGAAAGTCGTTGTGTTTAAAAAAATATCTACCACGAAATAAACAGTTTTTCGTGTCTCCTGAACAATTTGGTTTTCTGGACATGTGCCCTTTTTGTATTTAGTGATTCAATTGAACTTCATTACATTCTGTAATTTTTACAGAGAGGGTCATTTAATTTTTTTTTTCAATATTCTACAAATTATATATTCTATGGTCATTATTATTATTTTCATTGAATTTAGAACCCAAAATTTCAAACATAATTTACCCTTTATTTTTTCCGTACTTCAATTCTAATTTTCAGCTTAAATCGTCTTAAAAAAAATTAAGTTTTCAATTTTTAAAAACTCACTCAGGCAAATTCCGATGCACATTTCCTCACTGATTTGAAATAAAAGACTAATAGTACATATTTTGAGGCGTTAAATCGTTAGCACCTTTTCCTTATACTCACTGAAACTACCTGAGCCAAGAAACGAGTGTTTTTGACCATTTTTGACTTTTAATGTTTATGAATGTTTCTTACCGTTTTTTACAGTTTTTCACTGTTTTGCACGAATCTATTCATTTACTTATTGTGAGCTCCAAAGAACCCGTGGAGCTTATCAAACCAGGAAATGGAACTTGACGGCTCGTTTCCAAGGGAACCAGCTTCATTTCAGTCCGATCGAAGAACCTCCGATTTTTCAAGTCACACAAGAATTTTAAATTGAAACTTATCGAGACTTTTTTAACCGCAGGTTTCCTTATAACTCATCAAAGTGCCTCCCTGGCGATATTGAGGCGAACAACCCAAAATGGAGATGTTGCATGTGTGAGGAGTTTGCGATTTGACTGTTGATTCTTGTGTAAAAGCTCGCGAGAAACACGATGGTGCGACTGGTTTTCTCTGAAATCGACTCCCAAGCTCATTAAAAGCTCTCAAGTTGAGGCCAAAATAGAGGAGATATTCCACGCTATCCCGAGAGTCCACCTCTACATCAAGACAAACTCTCCATGCAAAGATAAGGAGCAAATACATTAGCAGTGATGCCGTGTTTTCAATTTTAGAGTCCCCAAATAAAGTGGCAGCCCTGTCAATGTATTTGCACCCTATATTTGCATGGAGAGTTTGACTTGATGTAGAGGTGGACTCTCAGGATAGCGTGGGATATCCCCTCCATTTTGGTCTCAACTTGAGAGCTTTTCTTGAGCTAGGGAGTTGATTTCAGAGAAAACCAGTAGCATCATCGTGTTTCTCGCGAACTTTTACATAAGAAATGTTTATTGTAATGTTAAATGTAATTTTACGTTCAAATCGCAAATTCCTCACACATGCAACATCTCCATTGTCTGATAAAAGTATTTCAACCAGCCGGGACAGGCGATGTGGAGTCGGAGTTCCCATAGAGGAAAAACACGAAAGTTTTCAAGAATTGACGTTGAGTGGTTTTACACTTAAAAAATAAAGTATGGCTGGAAGTCTACAACGTCGCAAACCGAGATACGTGATCTGGTAGTTTCGCACACCGTTGATATGAAAACTATCAATATCGGTGTTCTGGCGCTCATGCCACTAAAAAACATAATATTTTGCACAGTCAAAAAAAAATCAATTTTTGGTTGGCCTTAATTTATTCATTAATCGAAATGTAAAAGTATTATATACAAATTGTCACATATTGAAGGAACAAGGGTGTGAGCAAAAGAACTCAGGAGAAATATGTGTAACATGGTTTTAAACTTAGTAAGTTTCAGATGGGTTGAGGATCCATATCGGAGGAGGTAATGATCAGCAGGGGAGCGTTTAAGATTTGTAAGTGCAGGTTCCAGGAGTTGCGTGTAATCCCGGTTCAACGAATTGTAAGCAGAACCCAGAGCAACAGTTGCCGATGGATCCATCTGATTGGCAGTCGGCGCCGTCTGAGAGGCAATTCGATTGGGCGCCGGCGATCATGAAGGCGGCCACTAAGGCGAAGACGAAGAATACAAACAGCTTGTGCATGATGTGGTTGGTTTTGGCTTGGAACCTGAAATCAAAAGTAAAAATAGAGAAAAACTTAAGAAATGCAAACATATGAGTAAAATATCAATGGCCAAAACGCGAAATCAGTCAACTTGTCAATGTAATTTCTTAAAAATGCTAATTACATTGGGGAAAAACTCATCCAGAGTAAAATTTCGCTCTTCAGATTGTGTACGTTCAAAAAACACTTAAAGCCACTTCTGCATTTTTACCATTATAATGAGTATGCCGGTTTTACAGAGACAAACACTGATGGCAATGGGGATGTTGCATGTGTGAGGAATTTGCGATTTGACCATTGATTCTTATGTAAAAGTTCGCAAGAAACACGATGGTGCCACTGGTTTTCTCTGAAATCAACTCCCAAGCTCAAAAAAAGCTTTCAAGTTGAGGCCAAAATGGAGGGATATCCCACGCTATCCTGAGAGTCCACCTCTACATCAAGACAAACTCTCCATGCAAAGATAGGGAGTAAATACATTAGCAATGTTGCCGTGTTTTCAGTTTTAGAGTCCCCAAATAAAGTGGCGCAGCCCTGTCGATGTATTCATTCCCTATATTTGCATGGAGAGTTTGACTTGATGTAGAGGTGGACTCTCAGGATAGCGTGGAATATCCCCTCCATTTTGGCCTCAACTTGAGAGTTTTTTTTGAGCTCGAGAGTTGATTTCAGAGAAAACCAGTGGCACCATCGTGTTTCTCGCGAACTTTTACATAAGAATCAATAGTCAAATCGCAAATTCCTCACACATGCAACATCTCCATTACTGAATTCAACATCTATGTCTGAAATTTTCTAAAAACTTATAATTTTAAATGTCTCTTAAAAGCCAATAAAAATGAAAAAGGAGCTATCCAAGAGCCGATTGGCAACACTGAAAGGGGACATTATAAACTGCGCGGCGCGTGCGGTTGATTAATCCGAGGTCATCACCTGAGATACAGCCGCCTCTCGGACTAAAGAACGTATCTCCAGATTGAAGAAGTCTCGAAAGCCTGGAGTTATATGGATAGTAGGGCTCGTCTCAAAATTGAGTTACGCTCTTACATCAGAGGAGTGGCAATAATATATGTAGAGCCCCTCAAAATCGCACTAAATCGTTAGTTCAATATGATTATTATTGTGGGTTCAGCTTCAAAATCGACTAAAATTAATTTTTTTTCATTTTTATTCAGTATTTAGATCATATGATAATATTTATTAATAGCATGTAAGTTATTAACTTGACGAATTCAATCCAAATCAGCCTGATTGCATGCGTCTCATGTCGCCTAATTTCCTCTTTGTCTCTTTATTTTTTTTAAACAGAGAATGATACTGCTAAATTTTTAAAAATTTCTGTAAATTTACTCCAGATTGTGAAGAATAAGTACACACACAGTTTCAAGTTTCAGTATCACTTAATTCTCTGTTTAAAATATAAAACATCAGGGAAGATTAGGCAAAATAAATTTCAGTCGGGCCAATTCAGGTAAATTCGGTACACTTGTATTTTCTTCTTTTTTTTAGCTTCAGTATTTTTTCCACCGTAACCTATAAATTTTCAGTGGTCTTCGTCATGAAAACGGTGTTGATTTCATATTGGAAAATAATTTAACTCATGTTTTTCTGAAATGAACACGTACTTTGTAACGAGATCACAGATGCACTTTTTTCAACATCCTTAAAGCGGACTTTTATCTTAATACTAATTAAATAAGTAGAATTTGAAAGATTAATCAAACGGATATTCATTTAAATTTAAAAATCATAGATCCTGAAGATCCTGAAGATCTCGTAAGAAGATTGACTCGTCTTCTTTATCATCAAAATAAAAAGGTTCAATGATGACTGAGCCTAACGCCAAAAATACAAAATGTTGCTGGACATCGGTGTTATATCTTTGAGCTTCCACGTGACTCGGAGGGACCGATTATTTTAAAAAAAGCAAAGGTGGATACAGCGATACTTTAATTTGCTATAAATAAAATAAATAAAATTAAATATTATGAAAGTTTTGGGACGAAAAAAATCTTTTCTACACAGACTGATTTCAGAAAAGGGCCCCTCCTTCTGCAGCACAGAGCCAATTTTTAGAAACTCAAAAATGAGCACTGTAAAAGCTACCATTAGCGTCACAGAGCGCACGGAAGCGCTATGAGAGTGACTTAGCAGTTGTAGTAAAATCTATCATTCCCTTAATTCTTAGGAACCAGAAACGGAAGCGACGGAGAAGGGTCAAAAAATAAAACTTTCAAAACATCACTAAAAGCACAAGTACTCACAGCAAATTAGTAGAGAAAGCTTCGGAAGAACGAGCAACTTTGAATCTCTGAGGAGAGTGCTAATAGTATTTATAAGATTATTTTTCGACGGAGTGGAAGAAGAAACAGGGAAAAAAAAACTATGGGGAATGTTGATTGGGGAATTATTTTACGGGACCAAATCGGAACAATCTGCAAGATAAGCGAAAAAAACTAGGGGAAACCCAGAGTGTAAATCCCAGTATGCTCGAGGTGTTGCAGGGGACGGAGTTGGAGAGATGCGCGAAATTCGAATGTAAAATGTAGCGCAGTTCAGCGACATTGTTGGGAAATCCCGATGCAAAGAGCATCGGTCGCGCTGAATTGGGTTTTTATTTTATTTCCTCTTGATTGTTTATTTACATTTTTTGCTCGAGCAATAGACTTGATACGGTCGTTATCCAAGAGGATAAAAAAATCGGTGGGGAAAATCGTGACGTCTCTTTCCCAATATTTTTTTTCTCTGGCGTAGCTCCCTCCTTACTTACAGGCAGTATTCGGTGTTAAACATCAGTGAGCGATGATTTAGGTTTTAGCTTGCTGGCTAACATTCGTACGGCTTAAAATTGTTTTTTCATCATCACCACGAAAGTTTAGTTGTTCCTGCGCGACTTATTTTAGTCGTGTCCTACGCAATGCGACGCTGAAAAAACAACTATGGTTGAAATAGGTGGTTTAATATCAAATGATTCTATCTATGGTTCTAATCTATGGTTTAATATCAAAATAAAGGTGATCCATGTGAACTCTTAAGTAGTGGTATAGCCATAAGCAATAATAGTGGTATTTATACCTTAACCCATTAAATAATAATTTTACAAAAGTGGCCATGAAAGTACCAACTTAATGATAAAAATACTACTATTCATGGTTATGACTACTTTTAATTAAGAGTTCATTTGGAACATCACTTATATGGTTGTTCAATCAGTTTTTTCTAGTGCAGGAGTAGGAATCTAAGTGAGAACTATCCCATTTCCGGCAATATTCCCAGAAATATCCGTCTGAAACCCTATTTTTCCAGGAATAACTTGACAGAGAATTTTTCATAAACGAACATCAATACGGTAATTATACTGGTAGGCCACCGGCGATGTTGTGGTGAATTCTCGTTCCCATTCCTGGTACATGTTTTTTTTTTTTTTTTTTTTTTTTTTTTTTTTTTTTTTTTTGGAAAACTGGCCGTATTGACAATGTAAGATACCAAGCAGCTAATCACACATAGAATCAGTTAGAATATAGACTCAGTTTCCAAGTATAGCACATGTTGCAATTACATAGTTCCATTGTAAAATGATTGCTTCCGTATCAATTTGATTCGTATGTTGCCTATCTACTATTTGAAGGGGATTTTCTTACTGACATGCTTTGCGGTGGATTTGGAATACGTTACAATATTTTTTCTTTTCATTGGAAATTGTCTATCTTTTGCTGCTTGAAACTCATCTTAATGATGTTTTAAAATCGGTTTTTATCGACCAAATTTAATTATGTAAAAATATTGCAATCGCATTGTGAAAAATTGCTATCTTATCGCATTCAATAATATGAAGTATATAATTTACAACTTTAATTACACTGTTCTACATGGGTTATGGTCATTTTGGTGTTATTTTAAAGTCAATCGTCGAATATAATACGTCAAATAGTCAAATTTGACTAGGTCTCCTCTTCAGAAATGAAAAATCGTACTATTATTTTCTATTGGGTAACTGAGCACTAAATCAATGCCATAATGCACTGAATTTTCTTTGAAAAGCTTACAGGTAATGCAGTTTACAGAGAGGAAGAAAGTGACGGGATATTTCTTGCTGAATGCAACTCTCAAATGTCACCCGGCGATTTATTTGCTACCAACTGCCAATTGCCTCTCTTTTTTGAGAGAAGTGATGACCTTTTCAACGAGCAGTTTACACAATGTCTTTGAGTTTACAATTTTGCCGGTGGCTCAATGTATAGAGTCCTGGTTAATATCCAGCCTTCAAAAACTATAATGCAGCCAAATCCATACTTAAAACAAACTAATTATTTTACAAAAAATCAAAATCGGGAATTTCCCGCTAGTTGATCACGTACTTCCCGCTAGTTGATCACGTACATTAGAGATCTTCATTTAGACCGTCTATGTGGCTTGAAGGTTGACCTCTGACGTCCCTACGTTGAACTCGACCACTGCTCATTTTGAGATGACAAGCTCGTTTGGGAGGCATAATTTAATCGACAAAATTTATCGTGTCTAGTCAAAAAATTCTGGACTGAGGGCTTCCTTGTTTTTGTCCGTTATTCAAACTGTTCTTTTTGGCACTTTTCCTTATTCTTCTTGATCATTTGGACTTAATGCTATAAAGAACTACCTATATCACACGCTAAATCCTATGCACATAGTTCCTTTTAGCATAAATACATTGATTTATGATTTTGTCGATCAAGCTGCAAAGGTATAAGAACCGTTGTTCTCTTCGTGCTGATTCAAAGTTGCTCCTCCCAATTTCCTCTGAAGATTCGTCTGTGAGTTAATAATCCTCGTTTTTAAATGCATGTTCGTGCCAAGGTTTACCAGGCACCGCTATAGTGTAGGCTTGCGTTAATTTATTAAACATTGTAGAGCTTTCCTTCGCTTCAAATTTAGAGTAAACTAACTCAGTCTATATTAATTTTGTGATGTTCTTTTTTCTTTCAAATCGTGCCATTTATTTTTACCAACAATATAGACGACATTAATACGAAGTTCTTACTTATGACCTTTCATTGAACTGAACGTCATAATGAATTTCAATTTTTGCACTATTTCTTTTTAAATCTCATAGAAGGATTATTTTTTGGGAAAAGTGTTCTTTAAATGCAAGAGGTGGACATTGCTGAAACAACGATAAGAGATCACAAAATTATTTATTATTAATACGCGCAACGCGCATAAAGTAATCATAACATGCACTGATAAATTTTATCTGTTGGTTTTTATATTATCTTCAAGGGAGCCCTCCCTCCTCCGCGTCCACAACACTTCTCACAGATAGATGTTATACTTTGCATGACATTTTTTGAAGGAATTTTTCAAAAAGGGCCAAAAATTTCTCTAAAAGGTGCATAATTAATCATCCATAAAACAAAGTCCGATGGAATAGGATCCGTGCGACAGAGGTTCTTCCGTAATTTTGGGGTTTACTATGGGTATTATTATCGTATTTTTGTAGACGAAAGAACATTACTGCATTTTAACTTCCCTTACTTTCCACCCGCAGACTTCATTTTCCTGGAAAATTGTTTGGAGTTAAATAGTATAAATATCTTGAAAGCAGTCTTGTTCATTTCTGGCCACACAAGAGTGATCGGAGAGTTGTATTCTATTTAAAAAATTGTGAGGCGCGAACGTGTGCATTAATACACTCTACTTTTTTTCCTCTATGCCTTCGTTTTATTTTTTTTGGAACTGCGAACGCCAAACTTTCATGTCTTGACATGACTTGACGAGATAAATTTTGACATATTCAGCACTGAGATTCTCTTTTCCCATGGATAGTCACACATCGGTGTTGTAACTACCGAGCAACGTATCGCGGTTAATGGCGTTACAGATACACTGCTGTGCACATTTTACCATTTACGAAGTGTTGTATTTACCAGCTTGTTTCCCTTCTGCATTGAAATTTTCAGCTTTATGCTGAATTTTTAGCGCACGTTGGCAAAAAACTTCAACATACTAAAAAAAGTTCATGCACACTTGGGGTTTCCCTTTTAGCTGCAGGCTGTGCCTTTGCACTCGCTGCTGTAATTTATGCTGACCCAATTTCCATTTATCGATGTTAATTTTGAGTGGTAATCCCAGGAATTAATTTCCTCATTCAGGAGTTTTTCCCGCTTTGTTCGGTCCCAAACTCCTTCAAAAGATAGGTGTGCATTTATACCACTGACAGTTAGCAGAGAGAATTCAATCTGTGCTGTGCTCTATACCATCTTCCTTTGCAATTAAACCGTAAGTACTAATTCCTTTGATACCCGCAGAGCCACACTGCTGTGCTGAGCCGTATGAGCATTCAGACACTGCCAATTTTTTTCTGTTGAAAAAAGAATTTTCAAAGCAATCTGTGAATATTTTTTCTCCAATTGTTTAGAAAATTTTACTCGCAATCAGATCTAGTTATCTGAAAATTTCAAGAGGAAATATTCATAACTCTCCTTCAAAGTAAACACTTTATTGGAGGACATTTGGTGAATGTCAAAGGAATACGTAGAAACGTTCTCTTGTAAAAAATGAAATTCGTCGTCTCCCGCACGAAGGAACGTAACTCCAATCCAAGGTTGCCAAATTGACTCCAACAATTAATTTATTTTACAAAAATGTAAGTGTGCAATTTATATCCAAATTTGTCTGATTTTTGCATGAAATCGGAGGAAAAATCAGTGAAATTTTCAGTTAGAAATGCCCAATACTTTTCTGGTTAAAATGCAATTTACGAAAGGAAATTTGGCAACATTGAAATTTAGTTACGTTCTTTCGTGCGGAAAACGACGAATTGCCCAGTTTTTGGAAATAGCTGATGTGGCTTGTTTCCTTTCTGCTGAACGCGGTCCAATCAATTAACGGGAGAAAGTCTTATTTTGATCCATGAAACACGTTTTCGTAGTCTGACGATGATCTAACCCCAGTAGCGATTCTTGAAAATGGCAACTTTTTTTTCCTCTTCTTAAACTTATGTGAAATAATCAATTCTTGAGGAGGCAGCTTGCCTCGCCAAATATATGATATTTTTAATGTAAATGGAGGAAAAACAGCGTTGCCAACTTTCAAAAATCGCCACCATCTAACCCCGGGCCCGGAACACATATTTGCACTACTCTGCCGTGCTAAGGAAAAACGCCGTATGAACATTCGAGAGTTGCCAAATTTTCCTTGATAAAACGTGTATTTTTGACGACATTTGTGCACATTTTTCTTTGAAATTTCTAGATGTTTAAGATAAAATTGCGTACGAAATCGTCTGAAAATTTTGAAAAATGAAAAAAAAAATACTTACGATTTTCCCTGTAAATTCGGTTTTTATCGAGGAAAATTTGGCAACGTCTGAAGGCTCATACGGCGCTCTTCCTTAGTATGGCAGTACTACATTAAATACTCTGATTCTACTTTCTTGTTCCAGGTCAGAATTCCGAATTCGAAGCTTCAGTGACCTCGACTGAAAATCAGCTCTCCGCATCCGTTCAAAATGGTGAAAAACGTGAACTCGATGTTGTTGTTGGTCTGCGTCACGTTTTTGGTGATCGTTTCGTCCCCGCAGAACGCGGCCCAAGGAGATGTCCTCATCGGAAGTTGCGTCTTCGGTGGCGTGAACTACACATCCGACTGCAATGGAGAGTGCAAGAGACGAGGACATAAAGGAGGCCATTGTGGGAGCTTTTTGAATGTTAATTGCTGGTGCGAATAAGCGTGAAATTTAACCTGTCAAGATAATCTGATGCAATCCGACCTATCGGAGTCTAGAGACGCTCCTTAAATGGACGTAATTCTGCCAAACGGAGCTATGTGCATTAAAACATGAGCCCTGAGTCTCATAAGGATATGTGCATGACGGGGCTCACGTCATGAAGCACATAGTTTCGTTTGGCAGAAATACGTCCAATCAGTGATAAAAAACAATCTATTTTGGTAATTTTTCTATAACTAGGGGCTAAGCCTCCTGACCACTTCGCAGTCCAGATCCCCACTCCCCCCCCCCTCCCCGAAGCGCTGCGCGTCTCAGGCGTTATGCGTTACACGTGTCTCTTAAAATTTTATATTATAGAGTAAGATGAATAGTAAGATAAGTCAGTGCCCACCAGTGTAATGATTGAAATGACTATAATTCCTGCTTGATTGAAAGTTCACTGAAGTTTACAAGTATTATCAATGTGAATTGAAATTTATAGGCATTTTATATTTTATTAATGTGCACCGTGTATTCTTGAAGTACAAACCATGAGACTGATTCAGTGTTTTTCATTTTTTACGTGCGTTATTATCCATGTTCTTTTCCCGAATTGCATCGTCACTCTTTTAGCCTGCCTAGAGTTGAATGGAGAAAACTTTGTGGCTTAGAATTTTTTGGGAAGTCTAATACAATAACAGGCCTCATCCTCTCAGTGCAATTCGATTGAAAACACCTAGCATAAAATTAGAGTAAAAACAAACTATACATACATACACAAAGTCGCTTTTATAGCGCCGCCTCGCGCTCTGCGACGCCCAATCGCCATTGCCCCCTATCCTCCCAGAGATCATCAGGCAATTGGCACCTTCTGATCTCCTCCTCCAAAAACAAACTATAACGGTTAAAAATACAAACATTTGACTTGCTCATAAATTTATGTAGCATGGGCTATTTTTTGTTTTGTATTGTTTTTCAAAGGAAGCGAAGAGAACGGAGGGTCTTGTGCAGTAGCGTGGCGTGTTTTGCGATACATCGATTGATCGGCCATTTAAACCTATGGAAAAGTATCGATCAACAGGGTGTTCGCAGCGAACACCTTAATGATCGATTATTTATAGGTACCACAGCTTCAAATGGGGAAATATCGATAGCACGCCACGCCACTGGTCTTGTGATTTGTAGACTGATGTCATGTGAAAATTCGTGAGATTATATTCGTTAAATATCTTATAATAACATTATATGAATAACATTCAATAAAATATCGAAGGGGGGAAAACATTACATTTGAGCAAATCTTAAGATTGGCTCATATGCAATCTTAAATTTACTCAAATTCATTAAATCTTTTTGGCAATCCACAAAGAGATATTCAGAAGGCTATATCGTTAAATTTTAATGCAAGTTTTTCGTTTATCGTATGGAGTTGGTAAGATATGATGATTTATTACTTTGTGGATTACCAAAAGAGTCTGCTCAAGATTAATTTTTGATGATTGAATTGCTAAAAGCTAATTTAATTTAATTTAATTGTTTTATAATCTACAAAGTATAGCGTTTTTCAAACCCCCAATGTATTCCCTATTAAGTTTTAATAGCTTTAATTTAAGCTTTAGATAGGAGAAAGAAACTATTAAAGTATTGAGTTTTCAGCCGCGATTTAGTGGAAGCTAAACTGTAAATTCAGGCCATGCTTGTTATTAAAACGGTGTGCAGCAGAAGTGCATTTTTATTTAAAAATTACCCTCAGATTATATTCCTTCAGTATTTTCTATCTTTATTCACTGTGCTGATGAAGGTCATTGTCATGGCCGTTACGGCTGCCATTGTCACCATATAATGGTGATTTTTGAATAAACATGTATTTAACTTGCATACTGTTTTATTGTAAAGCATACCACTGAATCACTAAAAGCTCAAACTTTGTTTTTTTTCAATTATGAGTAGCCTAAAACCAAATAATTTCAATTGGAGAAACAGCCTATTAGCAATGAAATTTTGATTTGTGCTCAACGCAACTAACCAATCGCAAACTGAGGAAACAATAATTGCGCACATGTAGGGGGCTTGGAGGACAAGGCGCATAAGTGCAGTTTTTTTTTTTAAAAAAAACTGAGTTAATAATGACTTCAAGTGAAACTATAGTCTTACTGCAAATTTTGCAAAAAATTCGCTTCCAAATTGCAATTTTTAAGCATCAAAAAGTAGGTTAGAACTTTCTCTCCGCCATAAGGATCCATGTAATTCCGATCCTTAAAACACGTATTTCTCGAAATAGCAAAAACTGCACTGACACGCCTTATCCTCCAAGCCCCACATGTGATTTGGTCAACTACACCTATCCTAGTGAGGTTGAGGTAGTCACGGCCGACAAGATGCGAACAGGTTGATACTGCAACTCCGACTGCTCATCTAGCGTTCAAGTTCAAGGCGAGAACTAGAAACCGTTAATCATGAAATTTTTTCAATGTCACGTGAGAAAAATTTCGGTGGAATGACGTTGAGTCGGACGCATTTAAACAAAATCAGTCGAAATACATCAGCAGTTCTCTGATTTCCTCTCTTTGCTGGAATAAAAAACACATTGGATCTAGAGTCTAGACTATTAAAAACATCGACAAGAGGAATTACTCTTAATTCAATCAGAATCAAGCTTAAATCAAGAACCAAGCCTCTCAATTTAAGCGGATTTCGTTTTGATTCAAGCAAAAATCCGATTGAATCAAGAGTATTTTTTCTTGTCAATGTTTTCAAGAGTCTGGACTCTAGATCCAATGTGTTTTTTTTTTTCTAATGATGTACAAAAATTATGCTAAACGTTATTAAATACGGATGCTAGGACTTGGTGAGTTTTTGAACTTTCGCTCTCATTTTGTGCCGTAATATATTGATTTATTTTGCAAGGAAAGCTCCGTACTCTTAAAGGATGCCTGCCATTCTTAATATGCTGGAGCGCCTTCAAGTTCGTATGATACTGTAGAACACATTTGTTGTGAAATTGTTGCTTGAGGCGCCGCGCCGTGGCACGCTACGACGCGGCAGGCGGGCGCATTGGCGCCTACAAACCTAAGTGGATACTTCAAGCATAGCGCAATGCGTGAAGTATCCATGTTAGGTTTGTAGGCGTCTGTGCGCGTTGCGCGCCGGCAGCAAGCCGCTCCGTCCAGTGTTGGGCTCTAATACTTAAACTACTCGCGATCCAATGTGTTTTTTTTTTTTTTTTTTTCAGTGTTATGGCTAATCAACATTCTGACTTAAAATTTTGTTAGGATACTCTTTATAATCCACAAGAAGTATTCATCTCTTTAACTTCACTTATAAACAAATAGCTGATGCCACTCATGATTTATTAGCACCTTTAAGACGATTGAGCCAGTAAACTCGGCCGAGAGAAGGTAAAACGGCGTATGAACCATCGGAGGTTGCCAAATTTCTTAAGATAAATTAAGATTTTTTCGGAAAACGTGTGAATTGTTTCCTTTGATTTTTTTTTTTTAGGAAATTTTACTCGCGATCTAGTCCACTTATCTAATAATTTCTATGAGAAAAATGTTTTGTAGGGAAGAAGTCGGCTCACTTTCCAAACGGCGTCCTTCTTTAGCAAGGCAGCACTATTTACTGTCAACTTTTTAAAAGTTCAATTTCAAATGTGCATTTGTTCCTGTGCATTTAACACTTTAATTTTTGATTTTAATTCAATGTGTCTAAGGATAGTAGGGAACATCCATTAGCATCAAACCCAGAAAAAGTCGCTTATAGATATTGCGGATATCTCAAGGAGCTCTTAAATGAGAAAAAAATGGGCCGATCAAGCACAGAATGCCCTTTACTCTCTCGTATAAAATTATACGGAACGGTCTCATTAGTTGAATAGACAGTCAGAAGAACGCTGGGCAGCTTAGATTTGACGTCAGTTGAACTTATAACTCCTTCACTCGCTCTGCGACATACATGGAAACGTTACATAATCTTATTGGGCCTGCTTATGCCAAAAGGAACTATGTTGCACACAAGCCCTATGCACGTAGTTCCTTTTAGCATAAATACGAACAATTTTTCTCGTCTGTCCAACGAATTCCCGGCTCGGGACTTTCCACCTCAATCCCACGCACTTACTGAAGAGTTTGCTCTTTTCCATTCTTCCGCACCCTCTAGTTTTTTCATAACTCCGTCAGAAGAGTTGCAAGGGTATATTACCGCGCCGCTCATCGCATTGAGTCAAAGCTGTTCGTTCCTCTCGCTCATTCTGACGATTCTGTGAGTACACACGTCATATTTTCTGATTGCATGTTATTACACCTCAGTTCTTCATGTAAGGCAAAGAGGGTGGGGTAAAGGATGGGATTAAGAGTCAACCTGGTTGACGAAACTTTAGACTGTCGGGTGAAGTTTTTTTCTTGAAAAAAGATATTTTATCTTAATAAAACGTAGATACTAAAAGAATATGTCTTCGTTTATCTACGTCGTAATTCAAGAATAAATTCAAAAATATCTACGTGATTTAAATATACTAAATTAATTTTATTAAATACACAAAGTAACATTAGATAATAAAATCAGTATCTACAAAACAGGAATTATAAAATTTTCTGTCTTTTTCTTAGAAATATTAAAACATATAATTTGCTGATTTAATTACTTAACATTCTTTATTTCGCGTCAATTTTCTGATTGCATGTTATTATACCTCAGTTCTTCATGTAAGGCAAAGAGGGTGGGGTAAAGAATGGGATTAAAAGTCAACCTGGTTCTTGACCCACCGAGACTTTAGACTGTCGGGTGAAGTTTTTTTCTTGAAAAAAAGATATTTTGTCTTAATAAAACGTAACTACTGAAAGAATATGTCTTCGTATATCTACGTGATTTAAATATACTAAATTAATTTTATTAAATATACAAAGTAACATTAGATAATAAAATCATTATCTAAAAAACAGGAATTATAAAATTTTCTCTCTTTTTTTAGAAATATTAAAACATATAATTTGCTGATTTAATTACTTAACATTCTTCATTTCGCACTCCATTCACGCTTTCATTCATTCCTTGCAGATTTCTACCTAGAAAGTAAATCTTGATGGGAGTTCGAAGGTCTCTTATTCATTTTTAACCTTTTCACTGAAATTGTACTATCGAAGAGGTTTAAAGCCTCTTCATGAACATGTTTTTCTAGTCGACATTCGTAACTCCTCGTTGTGAGTGAAAGCAATTACATTCGTGGTAGCATTTACGATGCACTGTGGTGCATAAAAAAGTATCAATAGTGAATACCATTTCGCAGCTCGGTGTTTCACAATTTTGATATAGCTGCATCGATGCTGCATCGATAGCTGTGGATTATGTCTTTTGCCCACCATTAAGATATTTTACTGGAATAAATTTGTAAATTTACCCAAAAACGTAATTAAAGAACTGCGTGTCCAAACGTTGGATCCCAAAACGCGTCTGTCATGCCGACTCTTCATGATGAGTAGTTGTCGAGACACCGTGCCCATGCAAATTTCAGGGGGAAAGAGCAGAACATATTATAATTTATACTAATAGTAGCTGTGGTGGTGCAGTAGCTTATTTGGAATCAGAGCAATTAGTTGAATCTATTTAACGTCCAAAAATTCGGATCTCAGTTTTAATACATTGGAGAAAATTTGAGAAAATCGAAAAACAAATTACAGCCTGCAAATCTATAGCTCAGTGGCTTTCATTTAAAAAAAATCAGGCAAATCGGTGCGGTAGTTCTCTCAAATTTAACGTCCAAAGATTCGGAACTTTGTGTTTTAATTCATACTAATATATTCACCAGACCTTTTATTATTCTATTATTATTCTATTATTATCCTATTAGTTTCGCTATTGCACCCAAGAAATCATACACGTATATTTAGACTTGGGATATTACAGATTTCTTGTCGCTTCATTTTTTTCGAAAGATGACCGGTCATCGCTTTCCTTCCAAATTCTGTGCGATTCATCAGGATTGCTCTTTTATAAATTTCACACTTACGTCAAAATTAGTTTTCCCAAAGGAAACAACAAAAAAATCCAAGCATGGGACGAATCATCAAAATATGTCGAGGAAAGCACTACAAAGCATACTGAAATATCTAATTTTTTGCAATTTTGAGGGTCGGCAATGTTGTGATACATTTAGATAATGCTTTTCTCTGAAAATTGACAATGTCGCGATAAAAATCAGTACTAGTAGTTCACTTAATCGGCAAAATAGGCAAGGCTGGAACTATGCGACTGCGTGCAAAAAACAATCGAATCCTCAATTTGTGACGGATACTGAACTGATGTCATTATAACGCCTGGATGCAAGTATTCGTGATCCATGGATGTTCGTGTTGCATATTCACGGAAATGAAGGCGGTTTGACTTTTGACACTATCCGCCTAACCGCAGCGGTGCGGTGCTCAAATGGAGCGGTCAGTGAGAGAAGTCATACCAAATGTAGAAACATGAAATGCTCATATCGATGATAATACGGAACGTAGAGGCTTTAGAAGTGGATTCATTTTTTTCCTGGTAAAATTTCCTCCAAGAGGCATCCCATACCATTTGAAATTTGAGGAAATTAACTTCATAATTTGCAGTTTTAGTCTAAAATTTCGGGTCTCGCCTCTCTGCGACCTATTTTATTGAGAGGCGAGCTTAACTGCATCTAAAATGGGAGAGTGTCATCAATTTTTTATTTACACATCGATGGAAAAAAACCCGTTCTCAATAGACAGGGAATGTGATCGGTTGAGATAAAAATTAAGTTCAAAGCTTGGCACTCCGTAGAAATCAGCTAGAATGTCACTGAAGGTTTATGATAGAGTTTATGATCTGTAAATCTTCCACCGGAGCCAAACACTGTCATTTTTATCTAGAAAATACAGCGATTGATATCTACAAAAAAAGCATTTGGTGAAACAGCACATAGTTGTGAAAACGGACCTGAAATAGGCAGTTTAAGTTCCACTTTTGAATACACGCCCTCGTCATTTTTTGAGCAGGACATGACTCTAGAAATCATCTTTTCCCTCGCGGCAGAACGTAACTACATTTCAACGTTGCCAAATTTCCCCTCGCAACTTTAATTAATTACGATGAGAATGATGTGCATTTTTAACAAAAATGTTCCCTTATTTTTCCTCTGTTATCATGCGGAAGTTAAACATGTATGGCAGGAAAATTACACAGGTACATTCTGATAAAAAATAGAATTGTTGAGTCAATTTTGCAACCTTGGAATGCAGTCACGTTCCTTCGTCCGGGAAACAACGAAACGTGCGCCTGCGCATGCGCAGTTATACCATTTATCAGAACATCGAGCAATCCGTTTAGATGAGCAATGCGCATAATGGCAAATTTGAAAATGTATCGAGAAAGGCATTACCCTTTTTTCATTTTGTTTTGTAAGTGGTGTATGATTGAAGGCTATTTGTTTCCATCAATTTTTAACCGAAGTCTCCCCGCGTAATACTCTATTCACGTGTGTTCTCCTTTTCTGTTCCAGACAAAAAATCTAGACTGTCGAAATTTAACTGCTGTAATTGGATCTTCGCATTGCGTACATAATGACGAAAAACGTTAACTCAATACTGTTGATGGTCTGCGTCACATGTTTGCTGATCGTTTCGTCCCCGCAGAACGCGGCCCAAGCCGACGTCCTCATCGGAAGTTGCGTCTGGGGCGGAGTGAACTACACCTCTGACTGCTTGAAAGAGTGCAAAAGACGGGGATATAAAGGCGGACATTGTGGAAGTGCTTTGAATGTAAATTGTTGGTGCGAGACCCGTAAATAAGATTACCTAATAAAATCAGGCTAAAAAATTCAGAAATCTTCATGAATCCCAATCTATAATACAAAGAATCAAAGATGGTAATTTGTACTGAAAGTATGAAACGTTGCAATATAATACAATTTTTATTAAGTCACTCTGGTTCTTGTTCCTTAACTTCAACAGTATTTCAGGGAATGTACACTAAAAATATCACTGCTATCTTAGAAACGATTGGATGAAAAAATGTATGAATCCTTTTTACAGATTTTTTTTTTTTTTTTTTTTTTTTTTTTTTTTTTTTTTGGATGGGCTGGTATTTGAGAAATACATAAAACTCTTAAGCTTTAAAGCAACGTAAACCATTTCAAAATATGATGCTCATTCATTTCGTCACTTTTCGGCCAAAGTATCACAAGCACCATGCGACTTTTAAAAATTTCCGCCACCATTTTATAATTATTTTTTCTTTTCAGAAAAATTGTGCCACGAAGATGTCCGAAAAGAGCCTCCCAAAATGCAGCCCCTTTTTCGGCAGTCGATTCGACCATCGGATTAAAGTTTGAATGGAAGCGTATAATTCGAGATCTATCGATCTGACAAACCTATTTTTTGCGATTTCTTACGGAAAACCGATGGTCTCTTGAGATAGAAATCTTTTTTTACTTTAATCAATGCGGGAATGAAGGAATGCACCCGACACGACTACAGATTTTCTGATAGCCTGGCGGAACCAAATCCATTGACACCAGAGTGTATGAGTAAACGAATGACTACAATTAGAATGATTCAAGAAGAGACAAAATTCGATACAACCGATCGAAATATTGAATCGTCAACATTAAAAATCAATGTTTCGTGTCAAAATACGTAGGATTTAGTGTGCTACAATCATGTTAGGTGCATTTATTCATTCATGAATCGAAAATAAACAATTTCAATCCCGAAAGATCATCGATTTTCCGTGGAAAGTCAGTAAAAATCGATTTAACCGATCTAAGTATCGATTCGGCAACGTTAAAAACCTATTCTACGTGTAAAAATACGTAGGAATCGATGTGCTTAACATAAGTAGCCAACGATAAGAACCCCGTAGGTACACCAATTCAACAAGAAAACAGCTAAATTAGGCCGGATTTCGACCCCTTTGCCCCCCCCCCGTAACCAAAAAACGGTTCCTATACTCATCTTTAAATTATTTCCTGAGTTTTCTGTTAATATTATAAACTTCCATTTAAATCTTAGTCCGATGGTCGAATCGACTGCCTAAAAAGGGGCTAAATAAGTCCCTTTTTTTGAGGCTCTTTACAAGTATGTCAGTCTTTGAATTTGTGGCTTTTCAGCTTCCTAAAATTCTCAAGATCATATTTCATAGCGATCATTTTTTATAGCCACGAAAAAAATCCTTCAGTTCTTTTTTTATTAAACCACTGAGCTTGCGGCTCTTCTGATTGCAAATGGCAGATTTAAAGTTGCATTTTAATTAAAAAATCTAAATCTCGATATGAAGATACATTAAAAAGTAAAAAAAATATTGTTTTGCATCGCAATTCATCGACATTGTGGCAGTATTAATGGTAAAGAACTTCAGAAGCACTACCTCGGCTTGAAACGCCTTCAATGCCCGTGATACTTTCCGCGTTGCCGAGCAGTTAGTTTAGTTGCCTATCCGAAACCGAACCCAACTAAAGTGACTAATACTACACGCAGCTGTGTGCTAGCTGGTACTAGGCATTCAAAAAGAAAAAAACGTCTGTATATGAATTCCAAGCATAATAATCAGTGTCTTTAATCTTGTTTCTTTACTACTTAATTTTTACAAATTTGTATTCAAAACCAAAAAATTGTACTTTGCCGGCGTTTGCGAATCACTTTCGACACATTTATCATATCGACGGCGAAACTACATTCCACGTTTCTCAGTTTGCGACGTTGCATGCTTCTTGTCATACTTTATTTTCGCCATTGATTTTACTTCTTTTTGTAAAAAAAAAAAATCTGTGAAAACTTTAAGAAATGATATTAGTTTTTCTCCCGCACAAAAATTAAATGGGGGCGGAGATTGTTAAACGCCGCATAAACGAAATACGTGGTATAGTATTTTCACCGTCGACATGTAATTAATTGAACGGTTACTGCGTTCCAATTCCGCTATGTACCATAAAAATTATTCGATGTATCGGGTTCAAGCTGCGGCCAAATTATTGAAATTGATAGACAAAGCTATAGACAAAGAAGACATAGAGAGTGTGAAACGGTCTTTGAAATGGGTTTGTCATAGACTGTGGGAGAAAATAGTTGACTAACTATAGGGTCTCTCATGGGTTGCCGTTAGTTAGTCCATTACCTACCTTTTTTATCCATCGAAACCACCCGTTTCCACCAATAGGATCCCTCCATATCCTTTTTGTCTTCTTTGTCCACAGCTTTGTCCATCAATTTCAATAATCGGCCGCTGGTGAATCTGGTCAAAGGTAAATGCACCCGAGAGTGCCTTCGGCATTTGCTAAACAAAAACAAGACGACGGTTCCAACGTTAAGACGTTGGAGAGCGTTCACTGTAGCACCTCGTCAATATGTAAAAGTGGTTTTGCGCGGACGGAAGAGAGCGCTGCAGGACCCTGTTGAACTAAACGTGGAGCGTAACCTAGGAAACATACATGTATACAAGAAATGTCATCATGGAGTAAAATATAGGGGTCATTTGTAAAGGGGTACTTTGTACCCAAAAATTTTTCTAGAACTACGACGACAAAAAATTTGAACTATCCTTGAAAGAGTCATTGAATAAAAGTACGTCGCAGAGTTTTAAAACGTAAAGATTTTAATTTCTCAAAGACAATCCTACAGGCATTACATAAAGTGGACAAAATAGGAGAAAAAAAGGTAGAAATGGTACGTAAAAAAAAAATTGAGAAACTAGGTATTACTTCCCGCCACGAAAAATGGCGCCGATTCCCAAGGAGCAGTTCGGGCCATTACCAATGGATCCATTAGTAACATACCCTCTACAAAACGACGGGAAATAGCGTGCACTACTAACGTGGTGAACGCTCAATTGGCAACTTTTCTCGATTGTTAGGTCATATTTCCGGTCCAATTCCAATGTCTTCCGGTAGGTTAGTAAAACTGGACTGCATTTTGCAATTTGGAACTATAAATTCCGGCCCGGTTTAAAAACAACGTATGTGCCATTAGTTCCCCTATGCACATAAAGTGTTTTTTCAGATGAGCCAGAATTTATAGGTCCAAATTGCAAAATTCAGTCCAACTAATCCTGAGCGGGATCCTGTACATTCGGGTGATCTGACCTCACATGCCTCCTCCTGGAATCCTGAGAGTTATAATGCCTCCCGCAAAAGGGACAGGTCGTTGCTCCAGTGTGTGTCTCGACATGCTGTTCCAGTTTCCGTGAGTTAGAAAAAACTTCCCCGCAAGCATCGCAAATACGCAACCCTTAAAGATAAAACACGTGTATTTAAGAGAAAAGAACAACCAACTGTATGATCAAAAAATGATGCTTATTAATTTTCGAAAGGATATTATTACATTTCCTTCGTCTTTTCTTTTTCGCCCAATGATTCTCTTTGTCGGCTGTTGCAAACTGAAACAGGATGGTCATCTCGGCAATTTTCTATTTCCGGTCAGTCATCATCACGTGATTAACGAAGAACGAAATCGAGAAAATGAAGCTAACGCTAGAAGCAGAGACAAACGATCCTCCACTAGTATCTTGGCCATGGTGGAAGCTTTTACTTTCGAGACTTCAGCATTCTACTGTTGACTTACCTACATGGTTGATGTTTAACAACGTGTTGGCAGTTTCGTTTTGCAAACAAGCCAAAAATGGCGGAAGTTTAGGAAACTTGTTTGGCTCATGACGTCACCCGAAGCTCATCATCGACCATGTAGGTAGGTCAACAGCCGAAATTAGGGCGATGACTGTTGCTCCCTTATAATTGTCCATAAGGAACTGTTGAATCCCCGAAAGTAAAAGCTTCCACCTGTCGCCAAGAGGCCAGTGGAGGGTCTCTTGTCTCCGGCTAGAAGTTACTGACACTCTTTTGATGAATTTTCGCGAGTGGATTTGGTTTGAAGTTTTTAAGTTACTGCCAACCTCCGTTACAACAAAACGAAATTCCCTCCGGGTGACGGTGCGCCTACAATATTTCGTTTCAATGCAGGCAGCAATGACGACCACGTTCAAAATTTTCAACCCACCTCCCGAGGTGGTTTGAAAACGGGATGGATGCAAACGTCGGCCCAGTGGCGTGGCGTGCTTTGCGATATATCGATTGATTCGCCATTCAAACCTATGAAAAAAGATCGATTATCAGGGCGTTCGCAGCGAACACCTTAGTAATCGATTCTTCACCATAGCTTCAAATGGCGATATATCGATAATCGATCCTTCACTCCACGCCACTGCGTCGGCTAAGATTCATAAAGCACCTGAATTTAGTTCTATTGACATCAGCAGAGCGTTTTTTTCCTTTGATTTGCAACCCTGCCAATCTGGATGAAAAAGTTGACCAAATCCACCAGCGAAAATTCGCCTCATTCTCTGTGCTATGAGCTCCGAGACCTCCTAAATTTGCCGTTGGCAAATTTTTCTGGGGGTTGGGCCGCGTAGCGATCATGGGATGTACCCCCTAGTTCTGTATACATTTCAAACGATACGGAGTTGACTAATTCCTCCCCGTAATAACTGAATAGGAGCGGAAATTTTGAACCATGCGATGAAGAGACTCCAACGGTGAAACCAATATACCAAGTAGGTAACTCGGACTAACTTACTTGAACTGTCTCCTCTGTGCGAAAAACTTTGTGGAAACTTCAAGGAATGATGTTGATGTTGACTTAGTGCTACTAAGGGAATTATTTTCTCTCCGAAAAAATGGGTTAGGGTTCCGGAGAAAAATATTTTCTCTTCGGAACGAGAAGTTTATGTTAGGGAGAGAATTATTTTGTCTCCGGGGAAATGAGTTAGTGTTGCGGAGAAAAATATTTCCTCTTCAGAACGATGAGTCAGATCGCCACTCAATTTTTTTTTAAATTCATTTACTGTGTTTTTGCAGCCGAAAATGAGCTGGTGACAGCTCGAAACGTCCTGCCTTTCAGTGTCTTTTAAATATTTTGGCCTTATTTACCCATGTT